CACACACACACACACACACACACACACACACACACACACACACACACCATGTAAATTCTCAAACAGTACTGTTGAGAGAATACACAGCAGGCATGTCACTCGTCTATTGGCTCCAATAAAACCTGTTCTAACACAAACCTTCTAGCCATCTTTCATACTGCAGTTGCCATGGTGACCAAGAAAAACCAACAGCTTCATTCAGTCCCTCTAACACACCAACGCACACGGTCGGTCTCTCCCTCCCTCCCTCCCTCCCTCCCTTCCTTCCATTATAATAGAAAATGTCCTTAAACGTCTTCCCCTTGTTTAAGCACACATGAGAAGACATTTATATCCGGCTGACTGAGCCGAGGTGGTTTGGAGACGACGGAAGGAAGGTGGCCAAGTCTCTATGGTGACTGTAATTTGGCAGCTCTTGCCTGCAATTATCACATCAGCATCAAAAGCTGGCGTCAATAAGCTTTTATCAAGCAGCCTGGGGCCCCCGAGTGTAACCCAGACACTCTTCATTGATAGGTTGGGAGGACAATAGGGAAGCTGGCAGCACAAAGCTGCGTTTGCTCATTTAGTGTCTCACGACGCACAAATTAAAACAAAATTACTTAACTTAACAAGCAACCGATTCTATTTATAAACAGAGACGGTCTCTCTTTCATACGAGGGTATGTTGATATAGGAACAACAGGAATCCCCTTGCTGTTACAGTGCTATAGGATGTGTTGTATTAGTTTAACAGGTCAGGAAATAAGGTTTCAACAGAACTAACACTGACAGAATTATGTTGGTTGATCCTGTTTATATAAAGCTGCTTCAGCTCCACAGTAAAGCTTGCCATTCGCAAACATTTTGAGAAATTGGCAACCAATTCTTGGGTCAAATAGGGACAGCGAGCAGCGCAACATGCACAGAGGCCACGTTAACGCTCAAGGTTCAACCTTTTAAAAGTTAGTCTTGAGTCAAACGGTTAAATTCAACTGCTGGAGGTAATCAAAAACAATATTTTGAGCTGGTGTTACGTCACTCTTTAAAAACTCTGCTGCAACCAAGTGTTGTAAACGAGAACACAGAATGAACACCTGTTCAACACCTGTTCACTGTGAAGTGTATGAGCGGAGAGACATTAGAAGTGCAGAACAACAGAGACGGCTTCATATTTACAGGTTGCTGTGTTTCATGCAATTCACTTTGTTGACTTGCTGCACATTTAATTGGCCGTCAGGGGAGAGAAGGAAGTATCGGATGGTTTTCCACATGGACATTCTCCAGTTTATTTACCTTCTTTTCTGCCACATCTGCTGAAAAGCATCGGCCAGTTCCACATTACTTATCTCCTCAGAGTCCTGGAACTTCAGAAAGCCATTTCCGCCATGGCCTGTTAAACAAACATAGAATTATTTAGTAATTAATCCATGATATACATACAGTAGTATAGAAAACCACACATGAACATGAGAAGGACAGTGGACTGGCAGCAATAAGCACAGTAACTGTAAGGCAGAGAGGAGTTTGGCACCATTCAGCCACAGATAAATAAGATAAAGAAATGGTGATAAAAACTGACTCTTTCAAACTTTTTATCTTTAAAATACATCACAATAGTTTAAAAACACATAACTTGTGATGTGAAGTACATATTATCAATATGTGGCAGATTACTGTCAGTTTAATAAATTTACAGCTTCCCCCCCATTGTGGTCACTGTTGTTAGCTGTTTGCACTTCGATTGTGTTGAAGCAAAAGTTTCCACGAAAACATTATCAAAACTGTCAATTTCTTTATACTTTCTTTGTCTGGCCAAATTTTATACTTAAAGTTGTATTAGTTAGTGGAGATATATAAGCCATAAGAAGTATGTTTGTGTCCCTTCTCTGGGAAATAGGAGTATTTAGAAGTTTAGACTCTACACATAAAAAAAAAAAAGAAAAGTGTCTATCACTGCGCATTCCATACTAATTAAATATAAATAATGTAAGCTAGATAGATAAGTGGAGTATTTGATATACCTGTCAGGTATATAAGGATGTTGCTGCGGTCATCAGAGAGGAGGCGTTTGGAGCGCGGAGTGCTGGGCGGCAGCCTGCCTGTCAAAACACGCAGGAAGTTCTCCACTGTCACCTGAAACAGTACAAGGCAACAACTTCCATTACCTAGCATGGATTAGAAGTGATTATTATGTATTGTGCATCTTCTAATCTAATGCAAATAGACAAAAGGTTTAAAAAAAGGCAGCGAGCAGGTCGAGACTGTAAAAAAATAACAATTTCACTCGTAGAATTCATTATCAATGAAATCACAAACGTGTCCTCTGCATTAGTAGGGAAGGTGTGTACATTAACTGCTCTACTTATCATTTAATTAAACTGCGAGAATCAATTCATCACTGTATTCTTTTCTTCTTTTTTCCCCCCCATCTTGAGCTTTATCAGATTTTCTTTCACATGATTACCGTTCGACAGCAAATATCGATTGGCAGTCCAGTGTGTATTCATATTTAAGAGACCAGCACAAAGCAGAGTAAATAATAAAACACAACCTGTAATAAGGAGTAGATACGCCACCGGGCTTCTGCCTCGTCGTAACAGACAAAACACTTGGGTGCTCCTCTATTTAAGAATACAGATGATATCAAGTAATTTCCTGATGTACACACAGAGCCAACACTGGACAAATAATGTTGACCATGGCACCCTCCAATTCCCTACTGCACCTGCCTACCAGAGATGTTATCTAGTGCTCAGTTTTTATAAAGCAGGTGAAATACTAAATGGGATACATCCACCTAGCAGTTGGCAATATATTACACTTTTCAGATTTTAACTAGAGCATCCATGTCCCTTTTAACAATGCATTTTCCATTAAATGGGCACAGATTTAATCATCAGTAATACAAGTTTAAAAGGAGATATGCTGGTTCAAACTCTAGCCACTGGAGTAAGAACTTTTTTGCATCCAATCTATAAGTTGACATGCAGAAATTAGAGTTTGAAAAGCCCAAGTCTGTTGGAAAATATGATTTTAAACAGACTATAAAGAAACAAACTTGCTTTCTATGAAATACACTTTACAGTGTGTATAACCAAGTGAAACGTGAACCGACCTCATATCCTCGGTAGTCCACCTCCACGTCGTCGCCGTACACATTCAGCTCCATGTTCTTGTGGCTGAACACTGTGGCAGGTTTGGGATTTCGGTGGTTACAAGCCATGTCATCAGCCAGCATGAGAACTATGTGGCTGAAAAAGAGTAAAAATGACAGCGACCATTCAAAATGATACATGAGAAACTAAGAGAAAGGACTGACGCTGTAATCAAGTTGTCAAACACATGTTCAGTTTAATGTTATGTCGCTACACATTAGATATATTACACTATATTCATTTTGCAGACACTTTAATGCAGAGTAGCCAAAACATGTTTAAACGTAGCATATTGGAGAAGAACTTTATTAACTATTTCTTAATTTGTTTTATTGGACATGTATTGCTTGTACTCCAACTGCTCTGCACCTCACAGTGTGTAACAACAAACATACATTCAAATGATAGAAAATACAAGTGTAATGGAGGCCATGACCACGAGACCACTTATATTTGCTCCTCATCATCACCACCATATGAATATAAATGATTCAGTGCCTGTCTGTGCCTCTAGGTTATTATCACCATTGAATAAATAAGACACAATAAATCAGACACTGTAGCGCAGTTAACCTACCTGTCAGGAATGCCCAGCCTCTTAACACTTCTGTAGACCGACAGGGTATTGGCCACATGACGGTAGTTGAACCAGAATCTGGACGTACACACCTGTGTATGAAACGCAGCCGGTTTATTGAGTTACAAACGTGTTTCTGCTGCTCCCATCATGAATGCAGCAGACCAATTAGCATGTAACGCTCACCAGCTGAAGATGTAACGATAACGTTTTAATCAAAGAATACCCACCAGAACGGCCCAGTTGTTTGTATGACCACTGCTAAAGAACTGCCCTACGTTATCCTGAGGAACAAGTGGAGAAAACGAATAAAGGTCTATTTTTTTAAATCGAATTTGTGCTCGTGCAAGCAAACACCAAAACAGCTAGTGTTAGCATAACGGCAAAGACGGCTAACATGGGAACGACATTTCAGGTCAAATTCAACATCAAACTAACTAATTTGCAGGATTTGTATTGCTGCATGTGATATAATACACACTCACCTCAATGTTGACGCTGTCAGATGATACATGTGTGGCTAATAAGCTCAGTAAAGTTAGTATTTTCATTGTGCCGCCCTGTTAGCTGTGTGCATCAAGGAAGTGAAAACCGGCGACTCCGCCCTGTAAGTGCTTCCGGTAAGAGATATTTCAAAATAAAGGTCACGATATGGAAAATGTGTGTGGAAAAAAACATCAATATTTAACTTGTAAAAAAAAAAAAAGGATCTCAGTAAGCTGCTCTACCACAGGGTTATGTTCCAAGATATTTAATGGCTAGGTGGTAAATAATCTCTATTTATATCATAAACGACTGTCCTTTTTCTAATCAACTATGTATTGTGTTCTAACTTCAAATAAAATGGAATTGTGTCCGTGGAATATTTCCTTTTGGTCTTCTGTAGTCTGCTCGTACCAATTATATATCCTCCCCACCACATAAAGTGTCTATTTGTATTGCTTTCTCAAAAAATGCAGGGGAGAAATAAAAACATATATCACAAATAGGCTACATGTAAGTGCATGCAAAACACAATACATTGCATACATGATAGTTGTAAGTGAAAGCAAGAAACATTAGTGAATAAATAAGAATGCAAAAACCTAAAAAAAAAGTACTTGAAAGGATCATTATTGAGCAAAAGTAGATCATTTTAGCTGACCTAGCCCCCATACCCCTATGCTTACTTGTTTAAATTATGAACGCTCACAGAAAACAAAAACAAAAATGTGAAAAAAATACAAATATTATAATAAAATATGTATAAAATGTTGTTTTTTAATTAGCTAAATATTGGTGGGTCATTCCTGATAAGATTGCCACGAGTGACTCCTAGAAGCTATGTGTGTTTATCAGATGATGCAGCTTGTGTATGTGTGGCTTATCATTAAAGGAAGAGAGTTCTTGTAGGAGGGAGCTAAAATCCAAGAGAACCAAGATCAAGATTACAACTAATTGCATGTACAGGTTGCTTGAGAGGCACTTAATGGGAAAACAATTTTATGGACTGGCAAATTGGATTTCATGTGTTAATTGATTTCTACTGAAGCAAATATGTTCATATTCCTGCAACGTCTCCATCCAGTTCCCTAAAGACACACGTCTCCCTCAAGGTTTTTGCCTAACATTATATTTCTGAACTCTTCATTGCAGAGTTCACAGGGGGGAAACAATCTAGTTAACTTAATTCTTTACCTTGTGACTATCATTTAATGGGCACATGATGGCTTTTTCTGTATGTTTCCTTGTGGTATTATAATACATCTTGTTTGGAGTTGTGGTTTCTTTTAGTAGCTTTGGTGGCAATTCATTTTTAAGTAACACACTGAAGGGGTTACAGTACACAGATGACTGCATGTCTAATTCAGCCAATCATTATTTGGGTTAAAAAGCAGAACCCATTGAGTGATGCTGACAGTTTTCTATTCACATGCCCTCTCCAGTTAATTGGTTAAGGGCCCTCCTAATGAGAAGTGGCATGTACATCACAGGCAGCAGATGTCAAATGTCATGTTACAGCTGAAGGAGCTTATGTGTTTGAGAGCCCTGCAGTACAAGATGAAGCCATGAAAAAACATGTCCTTCATGCAATTCTAATGTAACATTACAATGCAGCAAGTAGAAGGTCTGTTTGAAAAGCAGCATCAAATTCAGTTTTGACACACCGCAGAGTGCCTTTACAGGTCGTCCAACCACTTTAATCCTCCAGACTTCTCTTACTGCTGCTGCTTTTTGACCTGCAGCGTCACTCTCTCTCTCTACCTGTAGAGCGCTTATAATAATGGCCTTCTCCAAATGCATCACATTAGAAAATGAAAAAGCAAGGATAGCTCTCCAACGAAACAGTTCTGGGTTGCATAATTCCAATAATTATTCTATTTTCAATCCATAAATTAGCATTTTTCTGTCAGGGTGTTTGGTCCTGCAGCAGTTACAGATTCTCTGCCTGAAATGTTATTTGGATGGATTGATCCTCACTTTTTAATCCACAGATGTCACTGACCTAATCTAAAATTAGTCTCTGATATAACCAAAAAAAGGAGACGCACAGTAAAGTCAGCTGTCGTCAAGAGGATTAGTGGCTATAAGGATCAAATCCTATGTGACAAACCGGCCAATCAATGTGCCTATTCTTGTGTTGCCTAAAAAAAGCCCTGATCCAGTGGAATTTTGGGCCAAGCATACATCCAGCTATATTTATCTGCACTGAATGGTTTCATTGTTTCATTGAACAAGTTGTGATAACGTGATTTAAGTCTCATTTGTTTTACTATGTGACTCTTATAATGGTGTCAAAGTGTTGAGCTTGAAGATTAATTGTTGATCTAGGGAACAGTAGCTTGACAAAAGAAATAATGAGCAAAATATATATAAAGAAGGACGACCATGTGATGTGTCTGAAACACAAATTCAGTTGCACTTGTGTTTAGATTTTCGTCAAACTGGTTTAGCTTGAACTCTGCCCTTGTTGTTTTTCCAAAAATGTATTTTTTTTATTCCCAATCACCCCCTTAAAAGCACCCATAGGATCATAACTCCATTCATATTCTATAATTGTTTAATCCAATGACTGTCCTGTGCGTTTCTGTATCAATATCGCCCACAAGTTTCCAAGCGGAGTGTAACCGTGTGAAATACGCCTTGTGGAGGCGGTGCGCGCGTTAATTGGCACAGCGCGCAACCTCTGTGCCAACGTCAAGCCACACATGGTGTACGCTGGAAGCAGAGCGCTGTGGGAGGGAGGACGGACGAGCCACGCATCCGCATCACCGAAGAGGAGGGTGGCGCGGTGGCATCGCCTGCAGGAATCCAGTTGTAAAGTCTACTCACGAGGCAAAAATGCGCTGATGGTAAACCGTCTGGAGCCCAGTTGTTAACCAGAGAATACCTTGAGGCACTGAGACATCTGAAGAAGAAAAAACAAAGCTCCGGACAAGTTTTGATTTCAGAGGAAATCCGACTGGACATGAATACCAACGATGCCAAGGAGTATCTCGCACGGCGGGAGATACCTCAACTATTTGAGGTGAGAGATGGCGTGAGCTTTGTGGCGATGAGACGATACGTGCAGATTTGACGCTGAGATTTCAGCACAAAGATTCGTGTTACTTATCGACTCCAGAGTCAGAGTGACGGTAAAGATCTCTTTCTGATATGTAAAACATCGTGTTCTGGCTGATGGAGGTTTAAACGAGGAGAGAAACGCTGCTGACTTTAAAAAACTGCTTCAGTGTCTTTTTATAGTAATAATCGTACACAAACTGCAATTAAACCAAAAAGACAGTCCTCTCCTCCTTTGCGTAATTTGAAATAAATAATTTCAGCTGGAGACTGCATTCCTTTATCATGGAAATTCAAGATGAAAAGAACATTAAAAGTAATACATAATACATTTTTGAAGGAAAATTCAGTTATTGCAGCAAAGAATATGATGATATGATATTTGTAAAAAGAATAATAGCGAGACATTCGTGGTTGACAGAAACGAAAATACTACAAAGTATGAGAAGGTGCCTCTGAACTATACTGAAATCTCTACAGGATTATTGTACAATAAAAGGTAAAAAGTCCCATTAAGATGAAGACAGACAGCATATACTCTCAATTAAGCAGCATACACAAATATAAGTACCACTTATTTCCCTGAGGGGATAGTAAATTAGCTCATTCACTTAATTCGACTCAATCCTAAGTGTAGTGCGGCTAAAGTATGCAAGCATTCACTGCTTGTTTATTTACAGCCAGTTAAAATGACACTGAGCAGTGAAGTGACACATTATCTTCATCATCATCATAACTGCACTGTGATTTTATTGCTTCTCACATGAACATGTCATCATTATCAGCTAAATAAGCACATCCAATTGTTTTCAGTTGGGAGAAGCTTTAATTGTGTTTTCATGCTGCTGCTGCTGCTGCTGGTGGGAGTTGTCAGTGGGGAGGGTGGAGATGAGGAAGTCCCAGAGGAAGGTATTGTTTTAAAACATTCAGGGTCGAGGGGGCAAATATCACACAAACACACACTTGACTTGTGTTCTGGCACGGAGTTCGTTCTCACAGTCATCGCAGTGGTTGGCTTTCCTCCTCGACAATATCAGCCTGGCAAATAAACACAAGAGCCTGATGACCTGAATCCAATTTCATGGGCTTCTGACAAAATGAGATGTTTTGTTCCCCCGATGGAGCCGAGCCAAGCCAAGGCAATCAGATCTGCACTTCAAAACTTCTCCTCATTAAAAGGCGGGCTAATCACCGCCGCCACGCTGTCAGAGAGCAACACATTATAACACAGATGTAGAGAGATGCCAGAACAAACATCTCGTCATTTTCTCCCTCCAATGTTTTTTCCAGAGCCTGCTGACAGGCTTGATGTATTACCGGCCCGACGACCCCATCGACTACTTGGAGTGCTGTCTGAAGAAAGCCAGGGAACTCGGAGGACCAGACAAGGTGCGGTGGGATACCTTTGTGGGCCAGGAGAAGAAGTCTCTTCCTCCTCTCAACGGCAGCCAATCACGCAGGTCCCTCTTCAGAAATGGTGAGCAGAATGGTGAATGTAAAGTACACTGAAGCACTTTAGAGCTGAGACCATTAGGGAATTCATCGATTAGTCGATTCACCTGCAACAATTCTGATAACCAAATAATCGTTTAAATTGTGTTTCAAGCAAAAAAGCAGACACTAGTTAAATGTGAAGATTTCCTGCTTTAGTCTATTTCATATGATAGAAAATGTAATATCTTTGGGAACTGTACCAACAAAAGGCATTTTAAGACGTCATATCAGGCTCTAGAAATTTATGATGGGTCATTTTAAAAACTATTTTATGTCAATTTTTATGTCAGAGGTGTCGCGATATACCCATAGTGACGATAACCGTAATATCTAAAAAAAAGGAAATATCGATAACACGTTAATAATACACTTCATAATGATATTGTAACACATACTATTAACACCTAATATTGTGTAAACAATCCAGCGCTTCTTAAATCACGCTTTTATACAGTTATTGTTAGAGGCTCTCTCCGTCTCCCTACACTCGTAATTAATTTGCCAAAAAAGACACCAGACGCGCGATGAACAAAGTTAAAGATAATTTGAACTGATGGCAATTTTTTTTCAAACTTTCTATAGATATTGCAACAACGTTTTTTTCACAAATTATTTTGGCCGCAATAATCGTGTAGTGAAAATCTGATATGGTCACAGCCCTATGAAAGAATAAATTATGAAATAATTCCACAGATTCATCAAAAATGAACACAATCATTAGTTGCAGCACCAACACACAGAGAAAAAGCTGTTAGAAGCCATATTTATCTTTTGACTTCTTTCCCAGATGCTGGCAGCAGAACATCTTCCTCTCCTGCACAATCACAACTGGCTCCTTGTTTAAACAGGATGGGTGTTGACATTTCATTTGCCCCATTGTAGATTATGAGATAGGAAACTTGTTTTTCTGCAGCTACAGCACAAAGTGCAGCTGTGTGCATCGATACTCTCGGATAGATTTAGTTTCCAAAAAGTGCAGGAAGTATTTGTTGAGACACCAGAGTGCCCACAAACACAACGTAATAAAAAGTTTAAAAGCAACCACTGCTGCTGCTGCCAAACCTGTCAAACTGACATGTTCAAAAACAGAATCAAGTGTGCAGATCTCTGCCTTCAACATGCCTGTGCTGCCTTCACTGTGGGAGCCTGTTACAGTGCAGTAAAAGACAATTGAACGTGTGTTCCGTAGTTAACCATTCACATGAGAGGGTATACCAAACAACTCCCCATTCATCACTTATTTGAGCTGTTGACCTACCAATGCAGCAAGATGCAAAACCCATTTTGAATTTGCAGAGCAAAGTTGACTGTGGCTCTCATATGACAATGACATTTTCTGTTTGCACTGTTTTATTATCTCCGCCAGGAGTCGTGTGTGTATGTGTGTGTGTGTGTGTGTGTGTGTGTGTGTGTGTGCGCGTGTGCGCGCGCCTCTGGTCTGTCTACGGCTGATCTCGCAAACTGCTGCACCAAACTGCATACAATTTGTGGGTACTCACATGCTCAAGGACCTCTCATGGTTGCAGTGACTCACACTTTCTCAAAACACCTTTAATTTCCTGTTTGATACTGCCATTGATTGACTGCTGACTCCCGACCGGTAGCGGCCACAAGTGAGACGCAGTGGGGGAAACCAGTTTGCTCATTTTTATTGTTTTGGATGGTATGTTTGGCTATCAGCTCACCGAACTACCCGTACACACACTGCTGACTGCATTGCCGCCGCTCAGCTGCTGCTCTGCAGCAAGAGACATAGTTATTTTGTGCCTTTTTATTGGGCATCGACCTTACATTTACAGGTGTATTGTTGGAAAGAATTGACTTGAAGCCTAAATAAACATTTAAAGTCACGGTTACGCCCGTGAGACGAAGCAGAGCCGCTGCAGACGTTGATTCAAATGAGAGTGTATCTGTTGTGTGAGACGTGCGAGTGAAAAACACGTCTGATACACTTTCAGTCTAGAAGGGGGTTTAACCAATATTGGGTTGTGTGCATTTAATCAAACATTACAGCAGTGGTTGATGCAGACACACCTGGCAGAGATACTCAACTGAGTGCAACTTTCTACTGTAGTTAGGTCTACTGTATATTCAAACTTCTTTGTTTAATGGGTGAGAGCGTGACAGCAATGAGCACAGCACAGTAACTACCATGATAGAATAAAGTCACGTTTGTGTGGTTAAAAAAAAATGTTTTACATCTTTAAGCTTACAGGCACGTCACTCATAGCAATAATGCAGACGTGAACAGGTATTTGTTTTAAACAACTTCAAAGAGAAGAAGAGTTGAGGGCGGACTGCTTTGAGAAATTCTGATTTCGCCGAATTAGATGCCTGAAAGATGCCAGCTGCAGTGTTTAGCTGCTGGGAACTGCAACCTAATCAGGGATAGAGATTCCTGTGTCCCACAATTCCCCTCTTAGCTAAAAGCTGACGCTCAAATCTACCATGTTTCAAAACATTTACTGGAAGGGGATGCTGCGCTCGCCTCCTAAATTGTTCCAATCTCGGCCTGATTGACGTTTTAGTGTGTAAGAAATGTTAAAAAAGTAAGCCTTTGGATTCGGGCAGGGAGCATAAATTTCTATTCGCAACATTGAAAGAGCATCTCTGTTCCCTTAAATTAAAAAAAAAATCTATTTCCATCCCTGAGACATGTATTGTCATGAGTGAAAATGCATGATCAATACCATTCTCTCCCTTATAGTACAGTGTAAAGAGATGATATTGGTTCTGCATGTAAATAAAAGCAGCTCTGCTCCCGCGTAATTGCATGCAGTGACGATTTATTTGTTAAATGTGTTACAATCAATGCCTTCATCACCAGAGACAGCTGTATAATTACCAACCTGAATAGAGCGTTGACTTTATCACACTAAGATGGTTTCAGCTCAAATTTACTGTTTGATTGTTAACACAAACATGACTTGTTTTTGTTTTTTTGTGCTGAAATGTGATTTGCAGCGTATGAAATAATGTGACAAGTGCAACTTTAAAGTGACTGACGGAACATGATTATGATAATTAAGATATTTTGATAGTGAACTTCAGGCTTTTGAAAAAAAATCATCAATACTCCAGACAAAAGCAGACAAATTGTTTCTCATCTATACCTCTGTGTGTGTGTGTGTTACAGTGATGCCCGACAGTCCCAATTTCCCCTACAGACGGTATGACCGCCTCCCTCCCATCAGCCAGTTTTCCATCGAGAGCGACTCAGACCTGTCGGAGACGGCGGAGCTCATAGACGAGTACGAGGTGTTTGATCCATCCAGACCGCGACCCAAAGTCATCCTCGTCATCGGTAAAGGACCCGTGTACCCGACCGAAACACAGACATTAAAGCTAGAAACATCTGTGACCTTACACAGTGCAAGCGTGAGGAAGTTTTGAGGCAAAAATGTTTCCTCATCTGATGTTATAGATTTGAAGTTGCTCATGTGGATTCCTGCTGACTCATGTTTTCCATTAGATAAGACAAGTCAGTAAAGATCCTTTCATGTGTAAACAGATGGACACTCTAACCAGTGTCTCTTTAATGCTTCTGGTGAAAGCTTTATCCATTTATATAAAAGGCTCAACACATATACAAAGTTTATATTTGCCTCGTTGATAATCTAAAAATAAATATCCTGGATGGGAATCTAGTCGGGGAGTGCGTGTGAGTGTGTGTGTGTGTGTGTGTGTGTGTGTGTGTGTGTGCATTAACTGTGTGTTTTTCCTGGTATTTTAAAAAGTAGCCCCGCCTCTCTCTGTTGGTATCAGCGGGATAGATCTCGTTGCATGTCACTGACTGCAGACACTCATGCTCTCCTAATCTGATTTCCTTGATGGGTTGGCATTAACCTGTTAAATAGTGTCATTATTCTTATGAATTAAGCACGGCAGCTGCACAATGAAGTAATGACACAGGTTGAGCTGGACTGAAAAAAAGGCTGCTATTTATAAACCCTCTTTAAAATAGTTAATTCAAGTTACTTCGATGTCTGTTAAAAGCTTTTAAAAACGTCCTGACAGCCCTTCTGCCGCAGTATGTTTCAATTTTTGGCGTGTACCCGGGATGTTCGCTCTCTCTGTGGTGTGGTTGATGGTTATTTGTCCTCGCAGCACAAAGCCAGCTCCTATCTCGTCTCCGTGAGCACATTGCGCCCTGTTTCAAAAGGAAAACGGGATGGCAGCAGCTGTCATCTCTGTGGAGGATCATGGCAAATGCTATGTCAGTCAGGTTTGCAGGGATAGAGACGGACTGACAAAGATGCGTGTGGTCGGGAGGAGGCTGGGTCAAACATTACGAAATACTCAGATGTAAGGTCAAAGTGCATATTTGCTGAATACATACTGGAGTATCTCTCTGATCCTCCCACCCCTTCTCTCTCCTGCAAAACGTTCACTTTATCTTTTCTAATACACAACGTCACAACAATAATTTGTTAACTTTATGGGCCTCTTTCATAAGACAACATGATCATTGAAGAAAAATTCAGGTACAGTCAATATCATGTGCAACGGCTCACAATGCTTACTTACATCACCCCCAAATTGACCGTTTGTATATCAGTTACTCACCCCGTGTTACCGTCAACTCTTAAAGGACACGTGGGTTTTCTCGCATGTCTCCACTGGGAACAAAGAATCAAAAAACTGAGAAAAGTTTTGATATACATTTATTGGCTGAAATATTACTTAAAACTGAAATAAGCTATAACGTTATAAGTTGCACCTGTGCACGTCAAAATGTCTATGATTATAAACCCCCAACTATAAAATGATTTTTTTTCTCTTTTTACACAATTATGAGCATTAGTTAAGATTCAGTTAAAGGACAGATTACAATAACTTTACTGTAACATGGCCGTCTAAAATAAACTTGGGTGCACACTCTTCTCTTCATCCCAACAAAAACGTTTCTGACAGTGAGACCACGATGAAATAAGTTAATCACAGAGCTTTGTTCTTCGACTTATTTCACTTCACACCGGCCTGACTTTTAACCAGGAGCAATTCTGGAGCAGTTGACATTTCTGTTGTAACAGTGGCATTTCTAAAAATCCTGGAATGAAACACAGTGAAAGCAGCTTTTACAGGCCTTTCACAAACTGACAGCTCGTATAGTATGTCTTTCTTGTATCTATAAGATACTATCGCAAATGACTAGATGGGCAACTTAATTCCAAAATATCAATTTTTTGTGTTGTTGTTTTTACTTTTAGAGATATTATTATAATTTTATGTGTACAATTTGGTTGCACTAAAATGTTAAGAAAAGGGCATATATTCATAATTATGTTTTACCAAACTATCCAGCATCAAGCTGAGAGCTATCCTCTCCTGTTGTCGCTCCTCTGAACATCCTTGTTCCTGTTGAAATATAGAGATTGTAGAGAAAACGATTTGGTAGCAAATGTAGGAGGTTCACACATACCTGTTTCTCTCATCCACCCCCACATGCCCTTCTCCCTCGCAAAACACACAGGCAGCAACACACAGTCACGCAGAGAGATACATGTAGTCACAAATATGCAAACACAAGCAGAGCCATGCACACACACACACACACACACACACACACACACACACACACACACACACACAAACTCTCACATAGTCTGGGTTTCTCTCACAAATACACACATGCGCCCACGCTAACACCCACACACACAGTGTTTCACACTCACACAGATACATTTTCACACAGATGACAAACTCTCTCCCAAAACATCAACAGCTCTTCCTCTGTGCCTAGGTGGCCCCGGCAGCGGCAAGGGAACACAAAGCCTGAAGATTGCCGAGCGCTATGGCTTCCAGTACATGTCCGTGGGCGAGCTGCTGAGGAAGAAGATGATCCACAACGCCACCAGCAATAGAAAGTGGAGCCTGATCGCTAAAATCATCACCAACGGAGAGCTGGCACCACAGGTAGCAGAGAAACAGAGAAAGTGTGTGTGTGTGTGTGTGTGTGTGTGTGTGTGTGTGTGTGTGTGTGTGTGTGTGTGTGTGTGTGTAAAATATGAGAGGAGTGTCCAGTCACTAGCAGGTCGTTATCACAGCGTGCATGTAAGAAGGGACTAATTTGCAGCATGTGTGCTGCAGAGAGGGACGCTCCTCTGTCTTATTAGCATCCTTGTTTTCAAGATAATGACTCTGCTTGGAAGAAAATGAGCACAGACCCCCTGTGGTTATTTGTGCTTTAATTCATTCAAACACTGTGTACGAAACGTATATGATGCCTTTACACTTCGCAGATCAATATATGTATGAAATTAAGACTACCAGGTTGATTTTTCATGTTTAAGAGAAGTGATTCTGGTTGTCTGGGTACATTTGGATTAACATAATGAAAACCCCTGAGAGGGGGGTCTTCATACATGATACGTTGGTGATGCAGTGGGGTACAAGGCTGTAACACCAACACCGAGCCCCCACCTGCTTAGCGACTGCCAGTTCTTTGCTCGTGTCTCCTTGTGAATTATCTTTAATAACTGCCCACCTCTTCATTTATCATCCTTTCCTTGCATGTCTGGCACAACATTGCATCTACCATCTGGCCTGGTTCACCAGAGGTCAGTCCAGCAACCAGTGAGCATAAACAGCAAAGTAGGCCAAGCTGAAGACATATCAGATATGAAGAAGTGACTTATGTGTCTGTTGAGCATTTCATTTCCTGCCATTGATAGTTTAGCAAAGCAGAGGAGAATTTGGTTTCATAATGATTCTGTATGTAACGATGAGAGGAAAAGGCAAAATACTTCTGTGTATGAGTGTTGCAGAAGCTTTAAGCAGGAGCCCCGATGGCAGCGGTGCTGGTGTAAACATTGTTTTATGATGTGTTGAGTGACATATTACTGATTCACAGCTTGTTGGTTTAGTTTAGGTTACATAGATTTTACTCTCCAACCTTTATACCATATGACCCAAAAGGATTTATCGATCATCAGTTTAATTAAGTGGATGTCAAAGGAATAGTTTGACATTTCCTACTGAGAGTTAGATGGGAAGATCAATAATCTTTGTCTGTTTATAATATGAAACTACAGATGGAGGACATTCAGTTTGACTTGACATAAAGACCAGAAACAGGGTGAATCAAACACCCTGGCGAGAAATAATCCTCCCATAAAACCACAGCTTGTCTTTTTACACGTCGGTTTTTGTACAGATTTAACAAACAAGATGTAGAGTGTTGATCAGTGAGCTTTACAGGTGCAGGTAGGTGGATATTGTGCCTTTGGACTGAGCCAAGCCAGCTGCTTCTGTTTACTGTCTTTATGCTCAGCTAACCGGCTTCATATTAAGCATACAAACATGAGAGTGGTGACAATCTTTTTACCTCGTTTTCAGGCAAAAGAGCAAATAAAAGTATTTCCCAACTATTCCTTTAAACACATATTTCTATAATTTAAAATGTTTCTCTTTGTAAGTAGACTGGAAAAAAAGACATCCATGCGTTTCTTCTTGTAGCCTGGAGGTTCTGTAACTGTGCTCAGCTGTGCAGTCTCTCAAGTGAGAAATGGAAAAGTGCATTCGAAATAGCAAACACACAGAAATACATCATGGACACTCTGTCAACTGCCACATCAACTTGGAGTTCTTGCCGTTTGTCTGTAACCCACTGCAAGGTCATATGACTCAGTATTTATCTGCACTTGTTCCCTCAGAAATCCCACAGGTCTCAACATAAGAGGACCTTGGATTTTTGACTGTCTGGTCTAAAATTAAAGACTATTAGTACATACTGTACATATCCACAGACTGTGGAAAAAACGTCATGTTGAGATGGTTCAGCAGGATCCACTGCCTTGTAAAAAGTAATCTAAAGACCCAATTATACCCTTTAAAATGACAGTTGTTGAATTTTAGCACTTGCTGATGATTTTTTGTCTACTTGTTTCTTTTTTCTGTAAAGAATAGCAGTGTAACAAAACCTGTGTGCTAATTCCACACTAGATACTACATGTATATACTGTAATATGCTAAACCAATTGCTGCAGCAGCATCTAGTGTACCTGCATGAAGTTAATGTACTTTAACATTTTGCATTTACAGGAAATAATATAGTAAGTGCACCAGTGGACATCAATCAAACTACAATTTTGGAAAAACAATTAAACTTCACAAAGAGAAAGTAAAATGTTTTTTTATCAAAGATTTATTAATTATTATTTAGCTTTTGCTGTCTCTCTCCCACCAGCAATTAGCTTCATACTGTAGCTGTTAGTAGCTTCTCCATTTCCTTTGTGATTTGCGTCAAGAGCACTCTAACATCTAAAGCTGCTCACTTTTCCAATGTGACCGCACTTCAACTAGATTCGTTGGTCATTTTTGACCTTAGAAACATCAGTTGACAAAACAGACTCAACTCAAGGTTCACTTCTTGACTTTTGACCCTAACAGCAGCAGGGTGGAGCTCCTGTTATAATATTGAATATAATCAAACGTATCATTAGTTCAAGCACCTCTTCAACTAGTCTAAATTTGAGTGCACTATGTGGTGATATTTACACATGTACTCAGTGGTGAATTTGCAGATGGGTTACGCAGCTTTTGCGCCCGTTCAATCTGCACCTGCAAAGGGTGAAATGCACCCATAACTGCGCTACCAGGCAAATAGCATTCCTGTGCCCCTGTGCTATTTGCAGTGTTACATTTAAGCATACATTTGGCGCAAAAATGGCCCCCCTTTCTATTGCGTGTGTGAAATCGGACGTGCAAATTTTCAAAGAATGAATTACGGCACAAATAGGCCCATAACGTCTTGCAGCTGAGGGCTATTTTTTGCGTCTGATTAAAAATGATTCATATGGCAAAGTATAAATGTTGGCTTTGCGCTAACTACACAGTAGGCAGAACGATGTAGAAAATGATTATACAAAATGTTCAGACCGCGAAGTGCAGAGACATTCCACAAAACTTCAGGCAAGGAATTGATTGTGTCAGAGAGAAACTGTCTGCCAGTGATGATGGTGTTTTCCAAAGGCACACCTTAAGAATGAAGAAGAAGATGGCATGATTTGAAGCGGATGACAAAATAGATAATATCATTCAATGCTGCCATTACCACTGCAAAGTCTTGGCGTGACACCCCTCATAAATGTGCTTCAGTTACCACCAACTTCCTGAAGATGCCAAAAATGTCACTGTAACTGCGTGTGGCTATTAATAATAATAATAATAATACATTTTATTTTTATAGCGCTGATCTTTGTGAATTGGACTGTTTTTTGATGCTCATTTGCATATAATGAGGATAATATTGCACCAAATGTACGCATACTATGTAATTTAAATGTGTGCAAATAGCACAGGAGAGCCGAGTCACTATTCGTTTGGCAGCTAAGTTATGGGTGCATTTCATTCATTTCATTGCTTTGAGAATTACTTTCTTTTTGTCTTATTTGTGCAGATTTAGCGGCCGCAAAAGCCGGGTAATCCCTCTGTGAATTCACCACTGAGGGATTACCAGTAAAAATTCTGTGGAGTAAAAAAAAAAAAGTAGTGTCAATAGCGTGTACCCTGCTTTTTAATAAAATCCCACAATGTATTGTGTTACATTTGTTAGACTGTTCAGGACCCTTATAGGGACCGGCATTGGAAATAAGCAGGATAGCTATAACTGCCGTGATACATTGCATTGGAAAATTGTTGTGTGATTCTGCACGTATGTTGTATTCGTGCCTACCAAATAAATAGGAAATTAATGAATTAACTACAGAGTGTTTATTATATAGGGAGAAGTGAATGAAACATTTTGGATGCAACTTTGGTGATGATGCTGTCCAGCTACTGTAGGTTTGCTGGTATAGTGCTGTAAATAGATCGGCACTTTGGCGGTCAGAGATAATTGTTTGACTCTAGCATTCCTGTGAGAGCTCAGAAATCCAGCCATGCAGTGGATCAGAGGGCTTTTCTCAGATAAGCTTTTCTCATTTTACCTTACACTACATTAATCTGTTCGATGGAATCTAGAAGAGCTTTAATCTCTGTGTAGTCTGTCGCGCTGCTGCTTCTATTCTGTCTGTGGAGGGAAATTAAACGTCTGTGTTACTCGGCGTTCGCTACGGATGTTATTTTTAGATCTGAGCATTGCTCATGTATCTCCGCCATATCGTATGATGCGTTCAGCTCGAGGACATACATTAGAACATGTTGACCTCCGGCCACGAGGAAGTAATTGATGCTAAACGATCCTGGCACTCTGTGGCCTCAGGTGCAATCAAGACAGTTTTTCTGCCGAATTCAGATACATTAAAGTACAATTGGATAAACAAATGAATTATATTGCGGAATTTTCCAATGTGTTGTCATAGTTTTCCATTTACCTTCTTTATGACTCTGAATCAGCTACTCATTATTCATTATCAAAGGGTTTTAACTAATCTACAACCTTGATGAATCTGGGAATTGCTACAATAAACTCACCTCCTCCTTTATACTCCCGCTCGAAAAGCAGATTATAATTACAACAATAAACTTCTTTGCTTTATAATTCGTAGCTGAAATGTCCTGCGACAACCAGTTGCTCATTTAGAGAACTGCCCACATTGTTAAGCATTTAAAATGGCATAAAGTAAAGTGAAATGTGAGTTAGGAAAGACAGAATTTCAATCAACAGTTATTTGTATTTTTGGAACTCCAAATTAATCCCCTGCCGGTGATTGTCTTGTTTATTGCTCTTTTGACATTTACATGTAATTATGGATCCTGTTGCTTTCGCTGTTTTCCAGGAGACAACAATAACTGAGATAAAGCAGAAGATCATGAAGATCCCAGATGCCAACGGTATCGTCATAGATGGGTTCCCTCGAGACGTGGGACAGGCCTTGTCCTTTGAAGACCAGGTGAGTTCAGGTTTATTCATAAACAGAGGATTACCTCTTAAGGCCTTTTCATACTTTGCCCGGATGCTTGAGTCCATACTAAGATATCTTTACGTTACATCAGTGAGTTCTGCGGCTTTTCAGATGCTTGCTGACATCGGTAAATATTTAGATTTAATAATGTTTTAGATTTTTTGTTTTCTTTTGGCCAAGAATGTTGAATATCTTCTTCAGTCCTAGACTCTTGACCTCATCTGCAGACCCCTCCTATCCGCAATCATTTCAATTGTACGCGATAGCAGCCACCATTAATGTGCCATTTAGAAACATTGTTCAACAGCATATGGAGCAGCTGGCTGTGACATTTAGTGCAGACTACGCGGAACAACATTTTGTGCCGAGTTTAAAACCGGTTTTCAAGACTTCACCCGAGTTAGATATCAATGTTCACTCTCAACAAGTTTCAGAGTCCAACACACACAATGAGCTATTCAGGTACGAACCAAATATGTAAATAAGTTGGTCGCACACCACCGCCAGAGTTTGGTGTATTTGATATCAGATGCTGCCTCAGGTTCACTGTCAGGGAATTTAAACTCTTTGATAAGTTGTAAATATTGAATCAGTTTTAAAGTTTATCCAAAAAGTTTAGTTTTATATAACTGATGACTGTACATTTAGATTGTATGGAGCAATGCACCTTCATTGTTTTATTCTCTCACTGATGTATTGACTCTATATTGTTATTGGCTGGATATTATTTGCATCTGAAATATGAGCTATGAATCAGTCAGTGTGCTTGCAACGTCAGCTGGACTGTTTGTCTACTGTGTAATATTTCCTGCAAGTATTGACTTGCATCTCACGGTGTTCGTGCTCACTAGGCCTGAAGCACACGCGTTTCAGCTGCTGCTCACGTATTCAACAGTGAAACATCGGTTTTCCATTCCGCTGCCCAGTCAATGCTTCGTGATCCTGAAGGTAGCGGCACACTGAGGAAGGACTCCGCCCTTTGACTGGCAGACTGGCTCACAATCTGTGTTGTCAAGCCTCGACTGAAGTGTCCCTGAGCAAGCCTTGAAATACCGAACAGCTGTTGACTCGCTCTGGATGTTTTTGACCCGTTACCTGAGGATCAATAAAACACCACCTGCCAGTTTGGCAAAACATGAAAAAAAGAGTTAAATGAAGAGTCAGGTCCTGTAAATAAGCAACGCAAGGACGATAAACGACGAATGGCTGCTGTACAAAATGTTAAACAGTGTTTTTGTCTAAGCTGGAGCCCACTAAGTGAAATGTATCTTTCAAAGTTGAGTGGTCAATTATGTGACACAACGGTCGATTGCTTTTAGAAAGATTGATTATCTTTCGCACATTTGAACTCACTTAACATTCATCAACTTGTAAATGAGCACTGAATGACTGTTGGAGTGGTTGGGGAATGGTTTGGGGTCTATCAGGTCAGCGTGGATTAAGATTGACTTTATGATCCGGTCATTTTAGCTGCATTACAGGGAACGACAGAGAAGGTCATTAGGGTCTCAAGTCCCATTAACAGGAATCACAGTCCAGGAGGTGAATATTTTCCCTGCACCAGAGTTAGTCATTCGGCAGAGTGGTGCGTGATTCATGAGAATGTTTTGCAGGGAAAGCAAGTCGCCGTATTATTATTCAGTTTGGTTTAAATATAATATCACTGATTGGTCTGATTGTGATTGCATTGACTTTCTGTGTAATTATTGCTCCCAAATTACTGAATTCGTGATTGCTTTTCTCACTAAATTTGCTGGAATGTTTGTTGTTTTTGTGTTTGCGATAAATTGCTGAATTATTCAAGCAAGATTTTTTTTTAAATGAGGATTCTGTTAAGAAAGTATTGATATGTTGATATGACAGATATTTATGATTTGGGCTGTTTGGTCTGCTAGCATGTCCAGTTAACTAGCGAGGATGTTGAACTGATATCTGAGTTTCTTTCCCCCTTAAATTCAGTCTGTAAGGTAAGCACCTTAAAGGTAAGCACTGCCTAAAAGCCTCATGAATCAAAAGCTTAGTTTTAATCAATTTTAGAATCTCTGTTCAAATAAGGTTTTAATTGTCTTGTTGACTTTTTATAAATATTAAAAAAAAAACTAATAAGGTAAATGAATGAATCAGGATGAGCCATATTTTGAGTTGTGATTCAAACAATTAAGTCAGATTCATCCACTGCAGGCATGATGGAGATTAGCATTAACACTCTTTAAATGCTGTTTTCTTTGTGCATATTTATTTAGGTTTCCTTCAATCAAATAGGTGTGGTGGGTGATTAAGATGTACAATATTTAACTACTGTAACTAATTCTTCTATTTCTTTACTTCCATTTCCTTTACATAACAAGTTGGCATCATTTTCCTCCACATTTGTGTATGTTTGTATCAGAAATAGTCCTGTACTTTGAATCCTCCTGGCCTACCTGATCTATTGCAAAGCAAACTGATGTAGGCATTGTGTCTGGTTTCTTTGGCTCATAACACTAACCACTGTGGACGGCTAACCTTCTCTCGTGTTTTTGTTAAAGTCTCTCGTCTCTCCTGTGTAATTGTTATATTCTCTCCCTCTTTTTGTAAAGAGACCAAGTCTAATGAGATCTTGTAATGTGGTGTCTGGTGTCTGAAGGTCCACCTCGTCTGACAGCATGTTCCAGTTAGTGCATGTTTTCTGTCTGAAAGCTGCACGAGGAACCCAGGCAAAGAAACAAGATGATACGTGTGGCTGGCTCATGTACAGAGAGAGGGATCTCTAAACAGACAACGCTCACACAATCACGCACCCCACTTCTCATTGATAGGACTCACAAATCAGCAGATCAGATGTGATTACCTTCCTTTGGGGCGTCTCCACATCAGCTGAGGCTGTAAATAGAAAATAAACAGACAGTTAGTGGCTAACTCACTAACAGGCATTTCCACATTCAAGGAGCCTGGAAGTCTCATAATTAAAATGTAGCTTGATATCTCATCTTATAATTTGGTAAATCACATTTCGTAATAGATAACCTCAGAATTAAATTCAGCTGAAAAGATTTTTCTTTTATTGTCACGATGTTATTTTAATTGTTGCATAAAAGGATTGCTGAAAGGGTTGATGACAGTTTGTAAATGGAACCCGGGGGTTAGATAAGGACCAGAGGAAGTTCACTGGAGATGAAATCACGTAGATAACACATGTATACAGTCGTGTGTTATTACCGTGTCCCGGCAACCGCTTAAAGAAAAGGCTCATACTGACGTTGGTGATTGCACGGGAGATGATGACCGCTCAGCCAATAATGCACAGATACAGAAGCACTGGGATTTACAATTAGAATTAGGTGGCAACTTTATTAAAGGAGCTTTTGTGCAGTTTAGGAGCAAAGAGAATAAATAACAGTACTATATAACAGTAGAACACTTAAGACTTGGACTCTTAACAGACAGACGTAAAGAAGAAGAGGAAGCTGAGACGATGACAGAGAAGACATTGTGAATAAAGATGAAGGGCTGAGACAGATGAAGAGGGATAGAAAGTAACACTCAGCTACAAAGTCACAGAGAGTCTGGAATCCTGATCTGAAGATGGGTGAAACTAGAGACACTTGGATTCTTGCGAAGCAAATTAGTGCTGGTTCTAATAATCTGACACATTACTAGTTGTGGTACAACATGGGTGTTGTTTTAAACATTAACAATCTGATTTATTTAGAATCAGTTCAAGAGATGTTGATTCAAGTTTTGTGTATTCTGAAGTAGGATAAATATTGGAGCCATTTTTTACAAGCCGCATATCTTCAGGACATTCTGATACTCAAGCAAACTAATTAAGGAGAAAATTAACTTTGTTCGAGACCCGTCTCTGTCTCAGCAACACTCGGGTGAGCTCTGGAGCTAGTCTAGCCAAACATGTTCAAATTATAAGCTACCGTCATCTAACGTTCGCAAGCGCCGTAACTAACTAATTTCCACGATGCTAAATATGGCTGTTAGCTGTGAAAAAATAAATGGCCTATTAGACCACGCCCACGTAGGGGACAGGAAGAGTATATCATTTTACACCATTGGCTTAACTTGTAATGCCTCGTCTTTTGTTGTGGAGCATCTCTGGTGATTTGCCTTATCTCTCAGATAGCAGTCTCTGCTTTTGTGACTCCACTTTTCTTCTAGCTTGATTCTTTTACAATAACTTTGGTGTGACTATTGTTTAAAGTAGCTCATCTTCACAATTGCTTCCAGTAGACCTCATGGGCCCACTGCAGTCTTCCACCTTTGCGGAAAGTGTGTTTAGCATTTTTAATGAATGTGGTCAAGCTTGAATACACATCATTGAAGCACAAACCATTTCCCTCTGCAGAGCTGCAGTCCACAGAATATTTGCGGAGACCTTCAAAGGGTTAAATCTGATTGAGTGATTCATTGACTTTCTAATTGAATCTCAAACACACTTGCTGCTACTTGAAGCATCATGTAATTCATATTCTAGAAGGTTCAGTGCTTTATTTTGCATACCATATTCCCCAGCACTGAGCTCTAAGTGATCCTCTGGGAACCTGCAGCATCCATTTTCATTAGTCTCCCCTCACCCCATGCAGCTACTTTGCCCTTTACAACATCACAGCAGCCATTTATAAGGCGCTCCCGTGGGACGCCATCCGTCCTCTTCCTCTTTATAGCGGCCCGGTGAGACCGTCCAACCCTCCATTCTTCCCTCCAGGCTTTTTAAATCCACTCCTATCGACTACGAAGGTGTCAGTCCGTCTATTCAACCCTGTCAATTTACCTGTGTATGTCTAAATCCACAACACACACAAACACACACACACACACACACACGTCTATTTTAGCAATTAATCAATCTTATAGTTGCTTATCACGGAAAATGACCGAACATGCTTTAGTTCCTGCCACTCAAATATGAGGATTTGTTATATATCATTGTAATTTAAATATCTTTGGGTTTTTGACAAAACAATGAAAATAGTTGTAATACAATGCCAATTGGCTTACGTTTGTGACTGATGAGTCAGTTTGCAGCTTGTAGCTGTCATCTTGTCTTTTAATTATTCATCCATCATGATGGCTTTAACAAAGAGGACAAAACAGAGCAGCAGCTACGTTGCTTTGGAGGCTCTTGCGGACGCCATAACTCTCTCTGCACATTCCTCTCAGAGAGAAGTCAACATTTTGCTTTGAGAAGAATTGCTTACTGCATATTGCAAATGCACTTGGCTTAATCTACCCCCTCCTGCGAGACCGACATTTCTGGAGGCTTACAAAGGCAAGTTGCAAAGACAGTAATGTTATGTAATTCTAATTTTAGCAAGCTAACAAAGCTTGCATGTTTGTAAGAGGAAGAAAAAAAGTTTTCACTCCTCAGGAAAGTTGCACCTAGATACATATCCAGTAACAATAAGCATGAAAAGCATAAAGGTGACATTTGCAAAGATCTGTGCAGGTTACAGTTGAAGATCGAGGTCCATCCTTTGTTAACATCACAGACGACAGCCTTTCTGGTTACTTTGGGACAAAATTCACTAAAATAATCGTAATAGAAGTGTGGGTTAAAGGGAGATTATTTTAATATAAATGCCAATGTTACTGTCCCAGTGACAGTCTAGAAAGTTATGACGATGTTCTTGTGAAGATACTGAAGTGAGGCTGAAATAATCAGTCGATTATTCAATTAAATTAGATGATCGTCAGAAAACAAACCTGCAACAATTTTGATAATCGATTATTCGCTTAAGTCCTTTTTGAAGAAACGTTTTTCCTTATCTGAATCCTCTTTGGACAGAGGGTGTCTAATATTCTGGACAGATTGCAAAGCCCCTTGAGGCAAGGTTGTGATTTGTGATATTGGGCCATGTAAATAAAATTGACTTGACTTGTTGTTCTCCATGAGAACTGTTGGGAGAAGGAGAGAAAACGACCCCAGAACTCTGGTTCATGGAGACAGATGGAGACGAGTGAGAGTCAGCAGCACCACATGCGTAGAAAGGCCGAGCAGAACGAAAGGCAAACAGCAGTCCGTACTGACGCCAGGAATCAGTTTATTTAATCAACAGCAGATTTAACTGGATCAATTTCAGGAAAGAGTCCATCGTGATTAACTAAAGTTGGAACAGCTGTTTGTTGTCTTCTTTTATGCAGGTCTTCTTCACCAAACCAAATACAAAACTTGGTACAGACATCTATACATAGTGGTCCCCACCGAACATGATAAACTATATAAGTGAATGTGTAAATTCCTCAAACGCTAAAAGGTATATCACGACTATATTTTGTAAGTGACATGATCGGTATCATCAAGTTTACATTTAGCTTCACAGAGGACATTTCAGCATTTTGGTGCTTGAATCTAATTTAGTTCAACATCCCAGAAGGGTATTAACTGTTGTGTTTGGCACAAGAGTCCAGTAAACATTACCTTTATTAGCACTCTCTCTGTGTGTGTGTGTGTGTGTGTGTGTGTGTGTGTGTGTGTGTGTGTGTGCGTGTGCGTGTGCGTCAGTTTATACCACATGCTTCCTGGCCTTTAAGCTAGAGAGATAGCGTCACCGACAGAACTGCAGGCATTAAAACTGTTTCTGAAAATAGATGCTGTTATGTGATGCGATGATTATACATTTCTGGAGACGTTTTAAATCTAATAATGCTTTCTTGTTACAAAACGGCAGCCGGCATCTGATGGCTGCACTACATTAACAGCACAGCTGGAGAAAAATCACAATGGGTATGAGTGTTCATGTCATTGTGGAAATAGAAACTTTGATTTGCAAGACTGTTGCCGAGTGGTTTGTGCATCTATAAACAACCACATCTGAGCCATTTTTGTCTCTGGGTGTGTGCCAGACTCTGGTGTGTTCATTGAGTGCATTTCATCTCACAAAGCAGGGAAACAAACAACAGAGAATGAATCGTATTAAAGAGAAGTTCTTAGTGGTGGTGAGCTGGATGACTAGTTGTCAGGTTCAAGATGAGGAGAGCATTTAACACTCTTTCCTCTTTATAAAACGACTGGCCTCAACTTAAGAGGTCACAGCCATAGAAACTGAGTTATTTGCCCTTTGATGCTGCTTTGTATTCAATAGATAACATCATCATCATTCACTGATCTTTAAATAGCCAACGCGCAGTTCAGACTGTTTACTCCGGCGTACTCGTTGGTTACTAAGGAATGCTTTTGTGTTTTGGACTTTGTAATAACAGAAGCGGCCAAGCTTATTGTTGTTTCACAAATTAAATCTCCATTTCTCAGTCAGCGCTGCTGCTGGTGCCTGACCTTTTCCCTCAAATTAGAATAGCCAGTGTGTATTTTCTTGCCATCATATCTCGACAACAGGCCTGTCGTAGCTATTACACAATCTCCTGATTGCAGTAGTTTGAGCTGTTTGTAATATATATCCAATCTCTTTTGACCTTACCGACAATTAAGTCTTTTTTTCTGGTGCGAATTGCATTTTTGACATTTTGACCTGAGCGCATTGAATTAAAAAATGAGACTGACCTTGAGCTCAATCTCCGGCTGCTAAGTTTGTAGCTCTGAAACGGGTCAGATCATGAACATCGCATGTAAATGAAGGTTTATCCGAGTGCTCAAAGGTTTGGGCACTCGTGGTGCGTGACGCGTGGTAATGTTCCACGCGTCTTTCTCTCTCCCGGCAGATCTGCACTCCTGACCTGGTGGTGTTTCTGGCCTGCACCAACCACCGCTTGAAGGAGAGGCTGCAGAAACGAGCCGAGCAGCAGGGACGACCGGATGACAACCCCAAAGCTATCGACCGCCGCCTGACCAACTTCAAACAAAACACCATTCCTCTGGTCAAATACTTCCAGGAGAGGGGCCTTATCGTCACAGTAAGTCATGTGGGATAGTACGCATGTCTGTATTTGAATAGAGACAAGTGATGATATACAATTTCAATTCTTTCAGTTATGATATACAACATCAATTTGTATTTATATAGCTTTAAATCATAACAGTTATCTGTTATCTCATGACACTTAGACCTTAATCCATTACTGACCCAGCATTCCCTCATGAGCGACAGTGGCAAAAAAAAAAATCCCAGTGAGACGGAAGTTAGTAGCGCATGAAGCAAAAAAAGATTGTATTTCTAAGTATAAAGTTACCGGGATTTTCCCTCCCTCGAGGATGTAAAAGTAAAAGTGAAAATGGACTTAATGACTCTGGGACTCTGCAAATTAAATCTTTCATTGCAGAAACGTATAGTTCCTCTTATGTAATATCCTTTCCAATTTATTTTGGAATACTTTTTATACTCTGCTTATTGCGTTCTGGTCTGACCTGGTCTCTCCCTTTGCTCTGTTGTTTCATCATAGTTTACAGGTCATAAATCTCACATGTTAAGCTTTCAAAGTGTTTCCTCCTCCAGCATAAAACATAATCGAAACATAATTGACAATGCCGTTTTGTTGCTTAATGTAATGTAGTGTAAATGCGCAGTTGCGGGTTGCATTTATAGACTATCAATTGTTGGTTTAGAAGATAAACATGTTTGTTCTGTGCTGTAGTTTTATCTGTAGTTTATGGTCAACTGACACGTTCAGATATCACAAAGTTATCAGCACAGAGCTGTAAATCGTTAATCAGTTGACTTATAAACAACAGAAATAACATTTAAAGCTCTTAAAACAAACCAAGATCTCTTACAGGTATAATGTCACACTGCAACTTGGCGTGTTGATTTTGTAGAGACACCTTGGGTATAACCAATTTCCTCTCCCGTTACCTGTGAGTGAAAGAAGTCTGCAGTACTCTTGAGTGATAAGAACGTTCTGAGAACTTATCGATGGATTGTCCCTCCTGTAAATTGCAGTTGCTACTCTCTTTGTGGTGCTGCAGCGTCGATACAGACATGCAGCGTCCCTTCCCCTCTACTACTTACTCGTCAAATCGTTATTGCAATCACGCAGACATGACACCTCAGAAAACAAAGGTTGGCTCAGTCTGAAAAAAACAAAAAAGTATCGATATTTCTATCTATATTTGCAGCAGATGTGTGGATGATGGTATGATGAGAGAGTTTGCTTTGTTTCTACCAATATCTGCAGAAGAAGTGTGTCTTGTCCTTAAGCTCTTGAGCTTCTCAACAACAAGACATTGTTTTATGGCACATTTAAGGGCTTTAGATTGTAAGTGCATTGTGTTTGTGGGTTAATGAGCGTGAAAGGATTCTTATATATGTTCTTATATTTATTTTATCTAAGTATCCCAATCTTACAAAAGTTTAAAACCTAACAAACAGGCAGATGAGACAATCAGACTATCCACAAAAACTGATTTATTTTCCTATAGTCTGTCTGTTAACCACCAGCACAAATTCCTCCTTGTGATTCCTAAATCTACATGAATGTCATTGGAGACATTGAGTTGCTGATGGTAAATGGAAAAATGGTAAATGGACTGTACTTGTGTAGCACTTTTCCAGTCTTCCGACCACTCAAAGCGCTTTAACACTACATGTCATTCACACATGCAAGGTGCCACCTGCCCATCAGGACTCTAACTATCCATTCACACCTAATCATACACCGCAGAAACAGCCTGTGGGAGCAATTTAAGGTTAAGTGTCTTGCCCAAGGACACATCGACATAAACTAGCAATTCCTCTGATTGAAGGACGACCCTGCTCTACCACTGTGGCTCAGTGGTAGAGCAGGGAACCTTCCACTATCTTTCGGTTAAATTGTTCTGTTTTCTAAACCAGTCATTTCCAAAGACTGGGGTTCGCAAGAGATGTTAGAGAGTCACCAAATAAATTGACTTAACATCTATATCTGCAATAGACCTTTGAGCCACACGAGGGAGCCTGAATGTTCGTATTGATCTGATGACCGTAGCCTACTTATAGCATTGAATCTAATATGAAAGGCTAGCGCGCATTCTGCTGCTGAGAGTTAGTAAAAATAATGAGTTTTCACTAATAACAAAGTTGTGATGAAACGTGTATATATATATTTTCAAAATGGCTGTTTATATTTAAGATAATATCAGGTGATAATTGGAAATGGCAGTCAGGGACAAATTCACTCTGCTAACGACATATAAATAAGGTCTATTGTGAATTGGGTCGCGATGGTTGTGGTTGTGATGGTGAAACACTGATCTAAACTGTCCTCTAATGAACTAAAACAAAACACAAATGTAGTGAACAGTATCTAGTCCGTCTGAGCACAAACACCGATTTTTAAGATAACAATAACGATTAGATGAGTCTCTCCTGCTTATCATTTATTAAGACTCAGTTGTTCTCTGAGGCTTGAATGCTTTCGCTCAGCAAAAGACTTTTGTATGAGAATACTCCTTTCATTTTCAATGTCTCGTCCAATAAAGGAAGGCATAAGTTTCTTAAGGAACAGGCGCAGTGACTCATTACTTCACATCATCGACACATCTACGAGTCTAATAATTCTCAACATTTCACTGAATTAATTTGTCCTATTTCTGCCAAAGTTTTGGCGACGCTGACGTGCAATTACTGTATTTAAATTTTTGAGCCGTAGACAGATTTTGGAATTTGTGATATTTAGATTTCTGTGTAAAAAGTGCTGCTGATGACTAGGATGACTCAACTCATCAAACACACTCACACACACACACACCTCTACAATGGAGCCTGACGGGAAATTGCAGCAAAGGAGAGATAATAGTTTGTTGAATTGAAGCCATAATGTCATTGGCGGAAAAAGGACCGATCTAATGAAGTGTTCCCCGAACGCGTTCAGCTCCAGCTTCATCCCACAGGCTGCTAGATATCACGCAGATATAAACAAACAAAGGACACCTAGATCCATCCTACGTGGAGCCGTATCTCTCCGGGGGTGGTTACAAGGTATCCGTTCATTATTCCTGGAATATAAATACGGTAGTGACAATGTAGCTAATCAGTATGAACTGTCTTATTTATTTTTTTAAAGAAAAGAAAAGAAATCAAAATATCTCCCGCTTAGAAATTAAAACAGAATGTTAATTTTGGGCATATTATTATTTATTTAATTTTACATTTTGTCTGTCCTCTTCAGACTCATACTCACAAGCCACCGGCTGAGCTCCACTGTGTTGGAGTTATTTCCGGGGAACGACAGGGTCCCCTCTATGCAAATGCAGGTCGCTGAGGGGAAGTCTCTGACTGTTTGTGCCTATGCACTCACAGCAGTTCGGAGTACCCGGCCCTTTTAGGGTAGCATTCTGGAAAGGGCGCCGACTGGGTAATCTATAGCTCTGCTGGGGGACTTCAACGCTCATGTGGGTAATGATGGAGAAACCTGGAGGGGGGTGATTGGGAGGAACGGCCTGCCTGACATAAACCCAAGTGGTGCTTTGTTGTTGGACTTCTGTGCTAGCCATGGATTGGCCCTAACATACACCATGTTCGAGCATAGGGTGGTTCATGGTACCAGAACACCCAAGAGCCAAAGTTCTATGATCGACTTTGTGGTCTTATCATCAGATCTGCGGCCATATGTCTTGGACACTCGGGTCAAGAGAGGAGCAAAGATGTCAACTGATCACCACCTGGTGATCAGTTGGATCAGATGGCGGGGGAGGCTGCTGGACAGACCTGGTAAACCCAAGCGTGTGGTGAGGGTGAACTTGAAACATCTGGCTGAGGCTCCAACTGAGGCTCCAACTCCCACCTTCGGGGGGATTCACGGGTGAGGGTAAAATGTTCACACTTTGCAAAACGACCTGAAAGTTCTACAGTGGACTCGACATTTTCAGATTCCAATCGGCTCGGCGTGGATGCAGTATTAGTTTTGATTATTAGCCTAATAAATGAAGCCAGTTGCCCTTTTCTTTCCAATATAAACACTCTGTTCTGCCGCATTCAGATTTTCTCCAAAAAGGTAAAAACTCCTCATCTGTCCTTGAAAAGTGACACTTTCTCTGAAGAGCCTCAGGTAGCCTCTGTATGAACTACACAGAGCCTCTCTGTGGTTAGAAAAACGCTGCAGTGTGACAACAGTCAGTCACTTTTCTCTGCTCATCCTGCCAGACGCGTCAAGAGGTCTTATGGGTTTTTGGGGAAATCCTCCCCTCTGCTCCTCTACAGGTGGAGTGGCAGGGCTTCAAGCGCAGGAGTGTCCTCTTTTTAGGTTGTTCCCATGGAAACCCCAGGAGAAGGCTGATTGTTGATTGTGGGTTATCCTTATCTTACATTTCGCCATTTGACCTCCACTCCCACAGCTGACACTCTTTCATTTCTCTGTGTAGTTTGCAGTAACCCTGCTGAGAATCACACACCTGTAGCCAGAGAGCAATTCTCTCCAGTCTGTATATTCGTTTCTCTGTATGCACAAGGTCGCCTTGTCATCCTCCCTGATGGGAGCAGAGGCACGGCCAAAGAGCAGATTGAGGAGGAGGAGAAGTCTGCTTCAATCAGCTTCTAGCTCGCTCACAAACCACATTCTTCACGGTCAATCATCGAGCACTGTTGGTGCAAAGGAAGACAGCCGGCCTCCGAATAATCTGAAAGGGAGGCTAATTAATCGAATGTCATTAAAGCTTCCGGTGGGAGTTGAATACAAAATGACCCCGCACGTGTAGCTCCCGGCATTAGAGCTCGTTCCTTACGTTTGATCTTATAATGAATCTCATGTCACAGCGGCTTAAGGGACTGAGCATGTCCGTTTGTGTTTGTGATGTTCTAGGTTTCAGGTCATGACTTCTGCCTACGACTTGTATCTGTCGTTTCTGTCAAGCAGAAAGAATTAAAGGTCAAAAAGAAAAAAAAAAGAAAAGAGTATAAAAGATGTTTTTTTTTCTTTTCTTTTTTTTCTCCTTTCAGTTGGATGCTGACCGAGACGAGGAGGAGGTCTTTTGTGACATCAGCATGACTTTGGACAACAAGCTGTTTCCCTCCAAAGAGCCGGCAGCCGGTGAGATAAAACATAAAACTTATTTCATAAAACTGTGAGACAACAAGAGATTGAAGTCAGTGTGTTTTGAATGGGTTTTTGGTTAGATGCCTGAAATAAGCTCAAGATATTTTCACGTTTTGTTCAGTAAATATCCCACTTGGGAATTTTTAAGCTTTTATGTGTCTTAAGAAAAGACAGTTGTCCTTTTAGTCTGTTCAGTAAATTGTGTTCATTGTTGGTAACACTACAGTACCACATGCAAAACTCACTGATGCTTTTATTTTGTAAAACTGTCTCTCTTGTAAGATTTATTATTATTTGCTGTGAGGGTGAAAATCACTTGCTAAAGCGTGGTAATTATACAGTATATTCTGAACTATTTAAAATGATCTGCATCCTGTGAAGTGATTGGAGGAACTCACATGGCCCGGAGCTGAATGTGACAGTTCAGGTAGACGGGTTGATAAAAAAACCTAAATCATCATTTAGTTGCACTGCACTGATATTGTAGGGAATTGAAAGTGTGAACAATTTTTATATGTTCACATATAACAGAGTATTTCCACACATACTTAAGAGATCTGAGTACTTCCTCCACCACTGTGTAATTGGTAGTAAATGTTACACAGCTATGAGAAGCAGCCAGTATAAGGCCAACTCATAGTAAAGAAAACATTATGTTGGACTGTGCTCCACGTGTACTTGTGTGTGTGTGTGTGTGTGTGTGTGTGTGTGTGTGTATATATATGTATGTATATGTATGTATAATTTAGTAAAGGGCATTCTACAGCAGCTTCGAGCCAAATGATGATGAAATATGATGCAATAGATATACTGGTTTTACAGCTTTTTAAGAGCTACATGTGTTCAGTGTACAAATGCTTCTCCAAAATAATCCACACACACAATCAGAGGGAAACAACATCACCCACCAGCTCCCTGGTTACCACAAGAGTTGGCATAGCAACCAGTGAAGCAGGGTTTGCCAGGCTTTGTGAGAAATACAGAATCAACAGGGTGAGAGTCGGTCGTTCATCAGTCCGATGGAGACTGGATACGTGTTGTGTAAAACCTGATAATTTACCTTTTTAAAAGAAATATGCCAGACGGATTCACATCTCCGACTGAGACAACCTCACGTTTAAAAGATGCGATCAGTCGGCGCTCTGAAGGTGTTTCTGCAGTGATTTCATGAAGTGATAGAGATCATGAAGGTTTCATTTAAAGGAGAACTGAGCTGGCAAAATCTGCCTGGTTTTGGTTGCAACGCTGTCATTATTTTTCATCCTAATAAACTGTAGTAACGGTTCCAACGCAGCACTGAAATCCCACATATCTCGTAGAGCAAAGGCTGCTCACTGCCTCAAACTGTTTCACAGCAGCACATAAAATGCTTCTATATTTTCAGGGAGTCCGTTGGAAAAGGAGCGGGCAGTGTTTTTACTTTGTCGTTGTGTTGTTTTGTAGTTCTCGGCTGTATATTGTCATTCGCCTTGTGGTGACGAATTTACTGTAGATCAGAAGATCGATTGTACCTGTTAAATCAAAAACTACAGTCAGCGGCCAGTTAGCTTAGCTTAGCACAAAGACTTGAAACAGGGGGAAATAGCTAGCCTGGCTCTGTCCGAAGGTAACAAAGTCAGCCTGCGCCATTAAAGCTCATTAACACAAAACAACAATCTGCTGTTTTACAGGAGGTTTTGACTATTTGTTGGTTGGGATCATCGTCCTAATCCTATGAAGCCAAAACATGATCTTTTCCTAAAATGAACCAAGTCAGTTTGTGGTCTAAACCTATGGAGATTTCTGGCAGAAGCTCCTAAAAGCAAACTTGTCCCGTGTGCTTCTGCAACATAACCCAGAAGTTCTGGTTTCATTTCGGCTCTCTATCCATCTAAGCCCAGTGTGAGCTTCAATGCAAACCCAGGAAGGATCGCTTTGTTGCTTTTTCTAATCTTCTTTTGTTTTTGCCTTCCGGTCAGCGTTGAAGCTTTAATGAGAGAGGTTGTCGCAAACTCTGCGGATTATAAAGCCCTCTAAGAACAATATGTGCTTTTGAGCTTTATAAATAAACTTGGCTTGTTTTTGTTTTTGTGTTTGTGCCACACAGCTCGGGCACACTTGCAGCAGCAGGCAGCTGCGTAGGAACGGGTGGAATACATTATGAATTGATTATTATGTGACAACCAATCAAATAACCATTTATTGTCTTACTCTAAAAAGCCTTCTACACCAAAATAGGAATTTTGTGATGAAGGGAACTGTTTTGAGCCACGACAGATTAATTTAGGAGGAAACTGAGGTTCGTGTGAGGAGGAGCAGAGAACATGAGACGACATATGGCACATAAAGATAGTTCAGAAGGAGGAAATCTCTTTAGATTCAGTGTTTTTCTGATCAGAGGAGAGCAGCCGAAGTGAGCTGTTAGCAGACAGGTAGGACGGTTTGGATGTGGCATCATTACTACACAGCTGTTCTGTAGAATTTGTGCATTAAGTGATAACGGCCAGACACATAATGTGACCCAGTCTCACATTCGCATCAAAATTGCTACGTCCTACTTGACAGCTGTCCGCTTCATGGCAGGACACCGAAATACAGATGGCGACAGTGAAAAACTGTATACTTCTACCACCCATATACCACTTGAGCTGGACAAAGTCTGCAAAATCTGCAAAATTGATCCTGTAATTAAGCAAAAGAGAAATCATCACTCAGTGCCGGTGCTTTCTCTCAATGTTTACTGATTTGTACTAAAACAATCATGTAGCCAAATCTCATTATATTGTTCTAAAGGTAATACATTAATCCCGTAGGAATGAAAAACCTTATAGAAAACTGATCTTTTCCTCAGTTAGGGCATGACTGAACAAGAGATCGAGAGACCTTCCCATCACAACTCCACGTACATACAGCAGTTATGTAGCTGCACTTTGAGATGCATTTAAGAGCAGCGTGACATTGGTACATTTGTCAAGATGTTCTCCTGCATACGTTTCCTGTAATGGAGCCTCACAGTAGCAGTTCCATGCAGGCATAAGTGGGGTGCAATTGTAAAAGTCTATTTTTGCATCATGAAACGTGCAAAATGCACATGAAAAAAACAAAACGTAAATGTGAGTCACGTGTGAATCTCAAGCTTCAACCGTCCACCCTCTCAGAGATCAGGTGAGATTGCATCAATTGGCTGTTTTTGAAAAGTATGAGGAGCAGGAAATTTAAAAATAGACTAGCAGTAGTTGAGGCAAACTCTTAAAGAGAAATTGCCTCCCAGTGCATCTGCTGCTTCTAGCGCCACATTGTTCCCCAGCAGAGAGGAAACAACTGCCACTCTCCTGCTCGGTCTGTACTTATGTGGTCCAGACTGAGGTGTTGCTGACGACTGCAGCCTCGGCCGCCTGACACAACAAAGATCTCCACACTGTCATAACCTCAGCCCCTCTGCACTCTGACATGCTGCTGATTCTGAAGTTGTGAACTGCAGAGAGGACGCAGGTGTGAATCAGGTGCATCCTGACGCTTTTTTAACAATGAATGTAAGAAATGCACAGCTGCCGTCTCTCCGGGATCTGCCTGAACGTTTGAAGCCGCATTCTTGCAGAATCTAACCCGGCTCTCAGTGCAGAAGGAGCTCTGGCGTTCAGGAAAAAAAGAATCTGCCGAGGGGAAGTGTTATTCACGACCCAGTTCCACCGAGGGAGAGGACGAAGATGCTGCGTGTTAAGAGTTTATCACAGCATCACCCTCGACTGCTTTCTGACAACTTGGAAGTTTAGGTTCAGGTGTTAATTGGGCCAAAAGTAACATTGATTTGAATATTTTAGTTTCCTTAAAAATGCAGATGTGCAACTGTATGTTCACATATGGAGGTTTGCTGAACTGCGTGCTGTAGTGGAAACTATTGTAAGGAGATTTGGTCACAGTGCATATTTTAAAGACTCTTGTCATGACATTCAGAGCATTATTTTAGCAGCAAAGATCTATTATCTATGTAAAGATATAATGGAGTAATGTCTACATGAGCATGAATGAAGTCATGGGTGTCCCACTGGCTAGCTAATGGCCGCCGCTGTAAGAAGTGGACGTAGTCACCGTGACGTCACCCATTGGTTTGTAGACTGCTGCCGTTTTTTCAGCCTCGAATTCAGCATTTTGGCCGTCGCTAACTTGCCTTTTTGCAACCAGATGTGACTTGAGAGGGAGGAGCTAAGTGCAACTGAACGCTGAATGTGACTTTTAGCTGACCAAAAATGTTACAATTAACTTTCATAAACTGAAAACACACTTTGAAAGAGTTAAACGCTGTAACAACCACCAGTCGATCACAAAGTAGAGTTTGATGATGGTTCTGTTTGTTCTGTCTTCAGGTCCCAGTGAGCTGGATCTCAGTCTACTGGGTGAAACCAGCAGCCTGGCAGATGTTGCTTGCAAGTACGATGAGGTAAGATCCATTTCTAATATTTGAATATGGAAGTTGATTAATGATTTTCGATACCTATTGTCAATTTTTTTTTAAACGTCAGTTTTGGTACCAATACCTTACTTTTAGAAAGACAAACTCTTTTTTGTTAGTTTGTTTACCACATGAAAAACGTCTCTAATACAGCCGTGTTTAATGTTGTCTTGAAGTACTGGAAGCAGCTATACAAACACAGGTACATGAAACCTATTTAAAGAACAAATCTGATCAAACGATTTTGCACACAAGACCTGGCAAACCAGATTATCATTTTTCTGTAATTGCTGTAATTTTTTAATCTGAAAATTAGATGTTCAGATTACTCTAACTTTGTGTTTACATAAGCAAGCAAAAAAACGTATTTTCCCCCATTTCCACATCCTCTGCTTTCACTCTCTCCCGGCTTTTTATTTGCAAAACCATTAAATGGTAGATCTTTTTTATCAAAAAGCAAACGGTGAAACAGTGAAGGCCGGTGATTCAGAGAAGTCCAGAGAGGGACCATGTTGTTGTGTAATGCTTGGCGAGGGTGCAGACGAGCATCGTTCCTCCACACTGCAGTGTAACCCTGACCTCCGTCTCATTTCCCATCCTCCGAGTGTCTGGAAACAAATTGCTCAGCTCTCACTTCCTCTTTATCTTCAGCATCTCTCTGCTTCTCTTCTACTCAATATTCTAACTCAAGGTTTTCATCTTTGATTAGGAGTGGCTTTAATATATCTCAGTCTTCTAACCAGGCATCGGTGTCCCGGTGCATATTCTCTCTTTCAGCAGCACACCTCTTGACATTCATACAGTGCATCGAATTCACACTTGGGAGCTGCTCGTGATAACCGTTTACTTTCGGCCGCTCAGTTGTGTTTTGCTGGCAGTAATTCTGTGGTGGTTGAGTAAAAATGCCCACCTCTGCAACTTTTGCTATAATTTTCTTCACCTCTCTCTCTAACTACTTAATATTTTATATATACTTGTTCTGTTCTTTATTAACACCAGAACCAGCCTGGTCTCCTAAAAATAATGTAAAAAAAAAAAACTGCATTGTCAATTAAGTTTTGCGGGAATGTATTTTTTCCAGGATAACATTTGTATCAAATACGTCTAATCAAAGTCAGAGTAAGAGGTCAGAGGTCAGAGGGGACAGACGAGTCAAACACAGGACATTCACCCAGGAGACAGATGTTAGTGTCCCCATGCGATTCCTAAAGTGACACTTCTTTTACCCAAAATATGATCTTTTACTCAACCCATCCATGTGGTTTTGTTGCCTAAACCTAAACCTAATTGAGAATGCAGTTTCGAAGCAGCAAAAGCACCACAAGCTGTTAAAACACTATAACACTGATTACGTGTATTATAAAGAAATGTGGAAATGTTGACAGGAATTGTATTTCGGTTCAGAAGCGTTGAGATTCAACGTATCCGTGGTTTGCATAAATGTACAATGCCAACTTTTTATAATAAATGACCAGATTGTTTTGTTTAATACAGAAACACGATCTGATTAATTGCTCAATATATGAGCCCAGATTGGTGGAACACTGTTCAGAACATCATACTTTAATTAAGAGTGGCTCGATGTCAAAGGCTAATCAAAGGCTGCAGTGATATGTGGTGTCTATTGTCCACATAGCTCGTCACAGTGTTTAATCTTCACCAGTCCTGTTCATGAACAGATTTACTCTCACTGCTGGGTGCTTTGGTACAACAAAACATCCTGCTGGGTGTGATTAGCCAATAAAAGGCTCTTAGTCATGCCACAGAACAGTGAGCTTAAAGTGACAATGATTAAATAATGAGTAGGTGAAAAGTGGTCAATAATTATCAGACACATTCAGTGCCAGCGTAACGCCTGATCCATCCATACTTTAAACCTTGTAGAGGACAAGGAGAGGAAAAACAGGCAGTTCCTGGCCCTGTGCAGCACTTCCTGTGGCCACACTCCTTTCTGTGAAGTGGAACGAAGACGCCATGCAGCCTTGTCATCCCATATTTGTGGCCTCGGATGTGAAACAGAGATGAATTTGCTACCGTGGCGATGCACAGAAAAGGCAGAGCGGCTATTCTGAGTCTCTGGAGTAAAATCTCGTGGATATTTTCCTCCAATTATTTCTTGTTTTTCTCCACCTACAATGTATTCCTGATAAGAGAACATCTAGTGTGGATGTGTGTTGTGTGTCTGAGTCCATTTCAAAGTGCAATTCAGTGGTGGAATGTAACTAAGTACATTTTCTCGAGTATTGTAAGTAAGTACAATTTTGACGTACTTCACTTGAGTATACAGAATGGGTCATTTCACAGTGTTATATTATTATATGATAATTAGTTTTTAAAATTAATGTAGTTAATGTGGAGCCAATTTTAGATACGTTGTATACAGTACTATTGGGTAGATTAGTATAGTACTGCATCATATATATATATATATATATATATATATATATATAGTGTAACAGTACCTATAAGTGTCAAATAAATGTAGTACAATATTCCCATTTGAATTGTAGTAGAGTAGAGGTATTAAGTAGCATAAAATGGAAATAATCAAGTAAAGTACAAGTATGTCAAAATTGTACACAATATGTACTTATTTACATTCTACCAGTGAAACTCTATTTAAGGCCACGAAGATGATCATTTCAAACTAACTTCCATCATCACATCAGAAATGTGCAGCGCGTCATGCAGCTGCTTTCTGTATAAAGATGATGAAGATCATGATGATGATGAGGATGACGAGCACTCTTCAGCCCACCAGAGCGTCTCCGAATGCCGTTTGACGGATGTGACAGTTTGATGTTGTGGTCCTGAGGTTTGAACGTAATCAGTTGAGGCTGACAGCCGCAGCTTATTTGATCAGCTCAGACAGGTGACTCACCAGGAGAGTCTGACGCGAAGGGATTATGAGCAGACGTGAAGATCGAGAGGCAACTTGTGCTGCTGACAGCATCGTCATCGTCGTGCTCCATTAGACGTCAGTGGGCTTTTTAGCTACACAAGAGAACGGCGCTCTAGTCGTGATCATGTCAGTCTCAACAACATGTCGGATGGTTTTCTTTGTAACCTACAGACATTCATAGATCAGAGGATCCATTAATTCCTTTCCTTAAGTACTGTATTTAAGTACAAATTTGAGGTACAAACTTGAGTCTTTTTATTTTTTGGGCATTTTATGCTTTTACTCCACTACATTTAAAAAGGAATTATTGTAATTTCTACTTAATCTACACTAATCTTTGACATCTTTAGTTGCTTTACAAATTAGGAGGTTTACTTACAAAACATAGGATGAGCTTTGCAACAGCATTTCTTACTATTTTCTGAATATTTTCAAACCACACAATCAATCGATTAACGGAGAATAATGGAGCATAATCCATCATGAAAATAATCATTAGTTAATAGTTTAAAATGAGCTTCTACAACAGTAAAATTCTGCTTTTGCAGTAATGCATGAGTGATAATAATCTAATTTAATATATAATAGTATTTCAGTCACAGGGGACATCCTTCTACTTTTAATACTTTAAGTGCATTTTCCTGATTATACCCATACTTCTACTTTTACCTTAAAAAACATTTTCAACACAGGACTTTTACGTGTAACAGAGTATTTTATGTACTTCAAATATATTCTCCACCAACTGTAAAATCCAGTTTGATGTTTATGTCAAACAGAAAATTAATCATGACTATTATGGTCACCATCTGATCTTAATTGATCCCTAAATGTACATACTATTGATTATTCACCCCTAATGGCAACCTCAGGGAAAACTATCAACGTTTTACACATTTTACCTAAAATTCCAAAAAAGGGCAGTCATGATATTTGCTGAGAAAATTCATGGTCCCCTGTGGAGGAACCATTAAACCCCTGACCATCACACTAGCAACACATTTAGGCCATTATTTTCACGTGTACACACGCTTTGTGGATTACTGGATTGTTGCATCAAGTACATTTATTTTTCCAGGTATTTTAGTTTGCTGGTTTAGTCGAAAACTTCTGGTAATTTAATCTACAGTTCATCAAATCTTTTAGGGATGAAAATGTTGGTCGGTCCAAAATTTTGGTCCAGGCTGAAATATCTCAACAGATAAAAATGATGTCTTGCCAGCATCTGTTCAACAGGTTTTTTTCATGGTTTGTAAGGAGCACTACAGCATCACAGAACGGCTAACATTTAGAGACTTAAGGTTTTTGGATGTTGGTATAGGAGCTTGTGTTTATGGCCGTACACGTGTCCATCGCTCATTATCAACATACAGCATCAGTTTCACAGGAATTGAGAAGAACAATCTTCTTTTACAGAGGGTTTATGTGTGTGTTTGTGCGTGTGTGTATTTACATACATATTTTGTCTCCATTACGTATTGGCAAGGCGTGCTGTGCATGTGTTTCTCTCTCTCTCTCTGAGTCATCAGACCAGTTGGTGTACCCACATGCCAAGCTGGCTCGTCGTTGGCACCCAGCACTCCCCCACACTGACGCCATTTATTCAACACTCTCGGAGCTCTGCTTCACTTCATTCTGTGTCTCTGCTGTTATCCTCTACTGCACGTAACTGTAGTTCCACTTTACACTGAGCCCTCTGCAAACAGCCACGTGTCTAAATCCCAAACATTAGAAGTCAGTAGAAGAACAATCGGTGGTCGAGAGCTGCTCATGTAACGCAGCATAAGTAAGATTCATTCTAATGCTACATTTAGAGAATCTTCCTTCTTGTTCTTCAAATATTTTACTACACACATAGTCCTCCAAATGAAAAGGTTGAATTCATATTTATTTGTCATGTCGCCCTGTAGAACGACACGTAGATGTGTTTACTGAATGTATTTTGTCTGTGCCTCTAAATTATTACACATCACTGTTGAACGATTGATCAGTTTTATGATGGGTCAACAGGATTTTTTTTGATTTAGGCACAAAAACAACTTGGTTTGTGTTTTGGAAACATCATGATTTGGGTTACACCGACTACTTCGTTAAGGTTAGGGGAGCTCAGTCGTCATGGTTAACAGCTACATGTTTATCTCCGGCAGACGCTAATCTCACTCTATATTTATAGTGCACATCAGATGTTTTTCACTCAAATGTCTCGTTCAGACACTTTAATAGCTGCATGCCTGAGAGACCCACCTAGTAGACACAACAGATGCTCATTTTATGTTTGTAACGAGACTTTTGTAAATGTGTTGCACAATTTGAATAGTTTTCTACTGCCAACAAACATCATGAGAATGTAAGTTTGTGTTGGATAATGCAGGTTTGTTCCAGTTTTTTTCTAAATTAAAACACAATGACGACATCTGAGTCTTTTTACATTCCCTCCGTACTGCCACAACTTGGTGCTTGCATGACTGATCCGTTCAGACATCCATTTGCCTTTTAAAAGACCCATTAACATTTCAATTTACAAGCCTTTCTGCTAAATTTGAATAGAAATGAGACAGCACTTAACTACAGAGTCCATTAGGGAAATATTTGATAAATTGTTCCCTCAAATTGTCCCAATTTAAATTACAAATCATTCATTCATATCATTAAGTCATGCATTCAATACAATTATTTTGTTCACTTTATTCAGTCATTTGTGTCAAATTGCTTAATACATTCAAATGAATAGTGTTAATGTATTGCTTTGTCTCCCTGACACTCTCACCATGGCTCTGTTGAATTTAATGCAGATGTATTATTTATTATTTTTTTTATAAATGCTTGGATACACTGCATTTTGTGAGATGTCTGTTAAACATCATGTCGTGGTTCACATCCCATAAACATTAACATATATGGAGATAACAGATTGCATTGTCATAATATCTTTCTGTTGTTACTGCGAACGTTCAAAAGCTGCCTTCAAGGTCAATTAACGACAACACAAGGGAACAAATGATTAATTCTGGGGAATAAGTTTAAAGCTGCAAGCGGTCAAATGTGAAATGTGAAAGAATTTGGTCGCAGTGAACCAACAGAGAGTTATCTGCCAACTCTGCAGACGTCTTTCAGCTCTTTGTTTTGGTTTTACAGCTCGCCGCTTTACTGTGTGAACAATCTCTCATAAATGGTCTGTAGGCTACACACCACCTGTGACAAAGTTAGCAGCTGGTCAACATAGTGGAGCGTTTACAAACCTATCGGGGTGTGAATGTATCAGCGGTGCCGAATCTATTTGGTGCCCCTGAAATTGCAAGTGGCTCCAGCCTGGGCCCCCCCCCATTTGATATGGTCTAGGACCGTGGACACAAACACGACTCCAAATGAATGCTTACGTTTCTCCATATCTGCTGCAGTAAAGAGTAAATAAGCAACTGTGTGCTAACACATTCACCATATCAACATTACGTGGTGATAATATGTCAAAGATGTGTTCTAAATGCAGCTTTGTTTAAAGCAACAATCATTGATTCAGAGATCCCGGTGAAAATTCTCCCTACGAGTGACTCCTTTCACTTCTCCCATAATCATTTGATCCACTGTTAATATAAATAATATTTATTTATTTAAGTATTTAAGGTGATTATATACTGATTAAAACACAGTTATGAATATTTATATTATAGCGATTTGAATTATGAGAGGGATCAGATTACTTAATAACTTAATTCAGGGCATGATTTTCCTCCCTTTATTAAAATGATTCCTGCTTTATCTCCGTCACGGCTGTGGATGTTCTCCTCCTCTGTCCTTCACAAAGATCAGCAGTGTAATCATTCATTATCAGCATTATTAATATCACCTCTGCAGGCTGTTTGTATGCTTGTCTTTTTCTGGTGTCACCAGACTGTGGCGTTGTCTTAATGATGCACTTGAGTTATTCGCTGGTCATTCGAGCCCGAAAGAAGCAGACGGCCGAAAGCTGAGAAAGGATAACCATGGAAACCTGCAGCAATGAGGCTTCAGGGAGAGATTTATTTTTGATAAAGGTCTCAAACATCTGAATCAGTTGATGTGCGCTTGAATCGAATGAATCATTTAATTCTCTCGAAACAGAAAGTGGAAAAATATCTTTCAGCCAATTATCTCTGCCCCGCTTTGACTCGGTTAAGTGTTTGTGATCGTGATGCAGTGAATGAGGCTGCTGACGGTTTCTGTCCTCCTCCGGGCTCCGACCTCGTGTTGGCTCCGGGGAGACTGAAGGTTTACTCGGCACTTACTCCCTCAAATGCTCATCTTTTCTCTCTTTCCTGTGTTTTTTTAGTGTATATTTTTTTAAACAGTTCCCTTGTCTTTTGATCCATTGACTCTTGTCTCTTTTCAACAACGTTATATGGCCACAAGTATGTGGACACCCAGTGTTGGTCTTGATGCTGCAACAACAGTTTCAGTGCACCAAGCCAAGGGATAGTATTTTAGACTGGTCTGTGGTGTTGACCTAGTCTTAGTTTTATTCTTAGATTATTCTCATGCAAGTTAGACAGATTATTTTAAACCCTAAAAGGCAAACTAAGAGCCATGTTTCCTTGGTAGTGACATCTGCTGATCAGTGGCACCAATTGGCGACCAAAAAGAGGAAAACATGGCTCAGAAATTGTTGTTTGTTAGTAATGTTTTGCAGTAAAGAGATGGAAAAGAGTTTTTAGGGGCGAAAGCTATCTGATGGAAATAAATGTAGCAGGTCCACAAACTTTTGTCTCTTCTTTTATCTCAAGTTTCGCATTGAATGGTCGGCAAAAGCACATTGATGACACAACATATTGAAGAAGAAGATATAAAGATGCATTTGAAAGGTATAATATAGATTATAATACAAATGTTGTCTCCACCTTCACAGGTCGAAGAGGAGGAAGATATCGGGTATGCTGAAGGAACCACAGACAGTGAGTTGATGAAATGATTCAAACTATTGTCTTTCCTCTGTGACCTGCAGGTGACATCGCAACTTATCACCAAAGCTTTAATCAGCAGCTACATATTTGTCCTCCTCTGCCTTCTTTAATTAACCAGAAGCAGACTCCATTCAGCATTTTAACACACACACACACACACACACATAAACACACAGTTTCATCTCAGTAAATGCTAAGCATGTCATGTAACTGTTATGCACCAGAAGCCTGAATTAACTTCTCCTCCCTGCAGCCTGTCTGTGTTTTTATCAGCGTTGCTCTGCATCAACAGTATTGATTGTATAATGGAGGGGGAGGAGGGCTTGTCTGTTGATTCTGTTGCCTGTTGGACCTGGTGTTTATCTCGTCAGCTAACTGTCGCTACGCTAACATCCCCCTGCAGCAGGCAGAGGACAGAGAGGAGGAGGATATTTGCAAGAGCAGTGTTTATAACATGAAATACATTCAATATTCTATATATATTTCATTGGAAAACCATTACTTTACAAATACAACGTACAAATCTGTTTTCCATAACTGTGAAATACATGTTTATTATACAGCGACACATTCTTCGCTCTCCTACACACTTGTCTCCAAATGAAGCTCTGATGTTGGTCACTGGTGATCTTTAACGACACCTTCCAATCCACATCTTGCATAACATTACTTTTTGTTACTAAAGACAAATGCAATTGCTAAATTATACAGTGTAAGAACTGTAACAACAGCGAAGTTATTCAGAGGGAATGCACCTTTGCATTCAAAGCGTCCGATCACGTCCCTGGTATTCAGGACACAGTGCATACTGTGTTTATTTTGTACACGTACATGTGTTTGTATATGGAATCAAGACACAACTTCGGTTTCTTCTAAACAAACTACTGCTGCTCATCACTTTCAAAGATGAACAGAACCTGAAAAACAGACTGCAATTTAAAGGAACACTGTGTAAGACTTCGTGGCATCTAGTGGTGAGTTGCAGATTGCAAACAACTAAATGCCCCTCTGCTCACCCCTCCTTTTCAGGGAGGGATAGGTATATTTAGAATACAACAAGAAGCCACTCTTATCAATACTCTGCTCTTCTACATGACTAGATAGAGCAGCAACAGTTATGTTTACAATGACAAAGTCACTACATAAAGTCATTAATATCTCACTGGAAACAAATGTAAAATGTTAATAAAAGGAACATCAACAAAACATTTCTGTATGAAGTTTATGAAAAAATGAAGAACACAGACATCCGTCAGTATCAGTCATTCAACCTTCTGTCCTCCTGGCTGCTTTGTCTCGGCCAGCAGAGAAGTAAAAAAAAAATAATGTTGTATAAATTATTTCTGTGTGTGTGTGTGTGTGTGTGTGTGTGTGTGTATGGTATGCTGCACCGCATGTTAAACTCAGATTTTCTTTCTTCTGACAGGTTATTGTACAGGACAGAAGAAACCAAAGGTCATCTTCATGATGGGTACGTACATGTAGACACACCTCTCTCTCTCTCACACTTACTCACTCACTCACAAAATAATACCCATCAGCTGCTCTGACATTTTCCTGCATCTTTCAAGTGAACTAAACTGACTGTTGTAGCTCTGATGAAAAGCTGCGTTCAGGGGAAACGACAGATGTTCTGTTCGTTTCAGACGACTGAAGGAAAAGTTAATTAAGTAATTTAAGAAGTTTCAGCGTATAAAGTATTCTCCTGTGGAATTTCACGGCTCGTTTCAACACTGCTCATCAGTAGAAAACAAGACACTGATTATTACATGAAGAGAATAGAAGGTGGAAAATGTTAAATACGCCACTACAACTACTCATTAAGAACTTCACTCACAAAAGACATTAAAATAAGTGTTGAAAAGAGTATTTATAGTTGTCAGCGTATATGTTTTGTAGATTTACAGTTTTACTAATGGGTATATTTATTATGGACTTATTCATCTGTTATTTTAAAGATGATACACATACACATACATACACACACCGAAACAATTAGACAAGTCATTTCGTTTTAGAGTGGTGTTTTTTGTGATCAATTATTATGGCATTGAAACAGTGTGGCTTACTCTGCTTATTGAAGACAAAAAAACATTATAATCTTCAGCGTTACGAAATGTAAATACACAAACACAACAGCTTCAAAGTTCTGTTCCGGTGCAGCAGATGGGAAAATATACTTATTTATTTCCACCCTCTGGAGGCAGAGTGGGTGTTTTTTGTGATCAATTATTATTCCGCACCATTGAAGCCGTTTGGCTCAATCTGCTAATCGAAGACAGGACTCGAGGTAAAGGTTAATAAGACATCTGGGACACACAGTCTCCATTACCCAACGATCACTTTGCTACCACAGGAATATACTAAAAATACTGTCATTAAAATGTCATCGGTTCTCTCTTCCACACGGCTATGTGTATTTGTGTTTAAGCCCCTCTCCATGAGAACCAACATGACAAATCCCCAGTGATCTGTGCTAACACCAGTTCGTCTACATGTTTGAGGAACAGAGGTTAAGTTAGAGCCAGAGCGTTCCCTCAGCAGGAGCAGATAATTGGAGGAAAATGCCAACTGCATATATAACAATCGTCACCTTCACTTGCATGCGTCCCCTGAGCAGATTTTATACCATATAATGAAAGGTTGGCCACGTTGGCTAACATATACATTTTTTATTCCGCTTGCAGCAAATTGTTTTACACCTTCAGTGTGTTTAAACAGAAAGAGAGACTCACCAGAAAGAAAGAAGGAAACGGTCTCCAGCTCTCATCACAGCATCAGTTTCTCCTGCTGTAACGTTTGACTGCTGTTGTGGCACTGTGCCGTTATCTCCGTGAATGAACATTAATGCTGAGCAATTAATGGAAATTGTATCGCAATATGGCCAACCATAATGTTTTCTGGCAGTGGGTCATTTTTGAGATTTTGGGCTATTTAGTTTCTATAAAATGTCTTCTGTCAGACTAGTGGAAAGAAAACATGATTAGTTTTGACCCTATTCACCCGTTGTGTTTTCAAAATGTACGGAATTTTATGGGTTTTCCCTCATAACCTGAGCCACAAATCTCCACTTCAGTAGCACTTCGATACACCAAACTTTCCAGTTTCATTCCCATCTATATTCTGAAGGTTTTTGCTGAGGGGTATGTTCATCTATCTTTCATCGCCTGATGTATATCATATTTCATTCCTTCAAGCGAGGGAATACCTTTTTGCCCAAATTCAAATCAAGGGTCAAATAATCATAAAGAGCCCATTTATTTTATTTCCAGTGGACCACTCCTCTCCTCTCGTTAAAAGAGTAATAAGCGAGCCTATTATTTTTAAACCAGCCCTGCCACTCCACTATTTGGGGAAAACTGGACACAATAATGTATGAAAATCATAAAACGGTGTCCGTTTCGGCGATGTTTGCACTAAATGCATCTTCCCTATCTGAATATTTAGTCAAGCATATGAACCTTTGATACTGCTTTATTTATAGCATTTTACATTTTTCAAGAGCACTCGCAAAAGCCAAGTTACAAATGTGTCGCAACAAGGAACAACAACAAGAATTAAATTATGTAGTGCAACTAAAAACTGACTCAGCTATTCACCTATGATGACTCATTATCTGGTGGTGAAGCAGTTTGTGCATTACATAAACTGAATCCTGGGGGGGGGGGGGATCAGTTTTTTGTCCCCTCATAGGACAGGTGGTCTTTCCAGCCGGGTCACACGTGATGCTGACTTTGAAAACCCTGTCCCAAGAGGACTCACTCATGAGGACTCATCTCTTATAAATGTAAAGTTAATGTCCCCTCGTCTCTGGCTCTCGCTCTTTTCCAAACCTGCTCTATACTGCTGCTGACGCTGCAGCTTCGGGGGCTTTATCTGACGGACTCTTTTTCTCTGGTGAAGACGAAGTGCTCAGAGATACTTTACACACCCATCTACCTGCCCTGTGAAATGCTGTCGAGAGAGAGCATCAGACCGTCTTTGTAATATGTTGGGGAAAACAGAAAATAGCAAAATTGTATAAGAGTTCTGATGCCAGGTCACAGACTGTAAATCAGACAAATACTCAAATTGGAGTTGAAGGAAAATAAACAAAGAATTGGTTGAACAGATGTTACACCAACACTGAAAATCTATAAAAGAAATGAAGACGCTGTTAACTTTCTGGTTGCTGCTGCATGAGTATCTCTTGCTGTCAGCTGTTGACAGTAGAGTCTGATTGCTGCCGCAGTTGGGCGCGTTGCTTTAATTGACTCGTGGGAAACAAGATCACCCACTTTTTACTTTTACTCTTCTTTCTCCATGCACAGCTGGTTCTGGGTGTTTGCTATTGCCGGACTGTTGGTGTTCTGATCAACAGTACATCAGGATTCAATTAAAAAGATGTGTAAATTATGACATTCCTTATTAAAATTAATAAAAAATATTCTCTTTTATTTTCAAATACTAGGAAATCTATGTTCTCAAAACTGCTGTGTGTTGGGAGAGGTATGAAGGTATATTTGTGTCTTTATTACGCAAACAAAAAAAAATGTTTTAAAAGCAAATTTCTCGCACTGCAATCAAAAATCAAGTTTGTAAGTGAAAATATATAAACTGAGAATAATTTATTTGTTAGTTTTGCTTATGAAACTAGAATTTTTGGTTAAAAAAATAAAATCTTTGGTTAAAAAAATAAAATCTTTCGTTAAAAACAAAACAATCTTTGGTTGAAAAAAAAAGCTTTGGTTTTGAAACCAAATCTGTTATTTCGGGTTCAAGTGATGCTGTAAAGATCCCACTGTTCCTGAGCATGAAAAATAATCCTGTGTACACAGTATATAAATAATTTAATCTAAGTGGAGAACATTAACTCAAATGAAAAGCAGCGGCAGTTACGTACGGTATAAGACAGCACAGAGGCATTATTAATTCACTTCATCTCATCTAAAGCTTACGTCCGTCAAGGCCAGTTAATCTAAAATCCAAATGGTCTCAGGGAGAGGGAACTATCTTTACCCACAGAACCAGTTAATGCAGCAGGTTTGAGTTTGACCCGACTATCCAAGAGAGTCCCTAACAAGTTCCTCAGGGTTTTAGCTTCAGCCCGGGTGGGTCATTATTTTACTTCCTGACAGAGGCATGAAGCAGCAGAGGAATACTTCTAGTGAGTAGGCTCGGGGGTGTGTTGGTGAAATGTATACAGTCAGGGAACATGTGCTGAATGTACAATGAATGAATCCATAATTTCACCCACTTCTATTTCCTGACTTCTATTCCCCGGTCAGGTGAGCTGAGCCCCGCTCATCAGTCCGTGCTCTCGGAGGAAATAGTGATGCAGATGTTTGTTTTTGGAGGAGAGCAGCAACACTGAGAATACTGATGAATGTGAAGCACGTCCTGAGTTTTATTACTGTGCCAAAGGCTGGTTATGATAAATCACCACTGTCTACTGAACACAGCTTCATGGCCATGTAATACAGTTAACCTGCTATAAAAACACCTACAGACCTCAGACTGCTGAGAAAGTTGAGATTTTTTAATATTCTAAACGAAATCAGCTAAGATGTAATTGCTAAATAGGGACTGATTAGAAAAGCAGTGTGTTTATCTTCTTGTACTGCCTCTGTGTGTGTGTGTGTGTGTGTTCTTGTACGTCCATCTTTGTGAGGACCAGAAATTTTGTTTTAAAGGCCTGCTTGGTGACTTTAGCTGGACTTTAGGTTAAGCTTAGGTCACGTGTCAGAGAGGCGGGAGATGCTTTCATCTTTAGATAAGGGGAGAACGAAGGTTATTTTTAGTCTCTCCTCCTGAAGCAGCAGAGCGATGTACGTAGATGCTTGTCCTGGAGCTCCTCAAATACACTTGATTTATAATCACTAAGAACAACCAATCTACTCACAGCTTTTTTCCCAGCAAAAAAGGTTCAATGTAGACTTGAGACCAAGAAATAACAACCCAACTTCACTACTGAACCCTCGTTCACATGAAAAGGGACAGAAACAATTGTGTCGAGAGAAGTTTAAACCCTGCCTCCTTTCTCACCTCTGCACAGCCGGCCAATGAAAGCGTGAAGTGAAGAGTGATATAGAAGTATAAAGTGGCATGAAACAATATAAAAGTAAAGTACCTCAAATATGTACCTATAGGTACCACTTCCCTGGTTAAGGTTACGCGTGTGTGTGTGTTGTTGAACCAAGGCGGCGGTGCAGGTAAATTCAGTTACAGTGGAGGAGATAATGATCTGTAATAACTTGACTCTCAGCAATGAATCAGACCTGTAATATGCACATACATGCACACACAACTCGCCTACCCACCTGATATCCGTTTCTTTTTTATATCCCGTCTCTATAACTCTGCACCCTCACCAAATTTGTCAAATCTTGAACAGGAATTTAAATTCCAGTATATAATGTATGTAGCATATAAACAGAGAACTGAATTGAATAGATCTGCGCTAGTCACCATTATCAGATCCTGATATTTGAGTCGGTATCAGCCCGATATCTGAGATTGGTGCTAACATATAAATACTCACATCCTCTTCTTTCACCTCTGAATTCCCTCCTCGTCATTACTCAGCGACTACTTGGCTATGAGGATGGACTGAGCCCTGCTTGAATCTTTGTATGCCTGTGTGTGTGTGTGTGTGTGTGTGTGTGTGTGTGTGTGTGTGTGTTTTCTCAGGTGGTCCAGGCTCAGGGAAATCTCTCCAGTGTGAGCGGATGGAGGAGAGGTTCGGCCTGCGTCACGTCGCCCTGGGTGACCTGCTTTGTAACGAGCTGCAGTCTCACGGCGACAGAGGGCGTCACCTGCGGGACGTCCTGGAGAGAGGCGAGCAGCTGCCAGAGGTGAGTGGGGCGTTTACATTATTAAATTAAATAAGTAAAGTAAATACTACACTACCCATGAGCCATGGTGGCCTGGAGAAAAAGCCAGTTAGAGGCACAAATCAGAGCGGTAGCAATTTCACACTTCTCCATCGTTGCGGTTGAGAACAAGACAAAAATAAAAAACGTACGTTACAGTCTTATTTTTTACGCCCTGTGACTCAAAGTAGTTTTGCAGTGCAAGAGGAACAATCAAGCTGTAATCAGGCAGACAGCACTATGAAAATAGATTTCACTCTAAAATTACAGTCTTCAATACGTCAAAGCACGAGTTTAGAAAAGAACAGACTCAGAAAAAGTGGTTTGTTTTGAAATCAAGATATGAAGGAGTAGCAGTTATTAGAAAGTGGCAGCATGTCTGAACATAAAGAAAAGAATAAAGATGTCACAGAGACACCTACACTGTTTGCCTGACAGCCGATCTCTGGGAGCAGTGAGCAGTGGGTTGAGTGAACAAGATAATACCTCAAGAAAACAAGATCTTTCAGACTTTTATTTCATAACAAAAACAATTCTCTCCATGCTGTCACCTAAAAGAAAAATGTAAAACCACAGCTCTAAAGTTGTATACTATATAAAGTATTCGTATATTCCTGCTAAAGGCCTAATGAAATAAATAGAAGAGGGATTATGTTGCTGAGACTGCTCAACATGCCTTTCACAGAGACTGCATACTGTATACAGAGCTGGCACGGAGAGTGTGCAAACCAGATACATTATCTTCAACTCCAAAGACTCCAAACAGGCTTCTACAGCTAAACTCTGCGCTTACATCATTCCACACAGTGAAGGAGGACTTTAAAAATGTACAGGACGGAAATCCAATAAATGATATCAATGCAGTAGGATTTAGCAGCAGCTGTACACAGTGGAGGTGAGTCTGCTGTGTTCAGCATTAATTATCAGACATTTTCGCAAGGCATGGCAACGTCTGTGTGTTCAACAGTCAATTAACGAAGGGATCTCCGTGACATTTTCTGCTGACATTCAGGGTCCCAAGAGGATAGCGCCGAATGATTTCTCATACGTTTTCAGGTATAATTGTTATCGTTTCAATTTTAAAAAAATTCAAGGCTAAAATGCCACATTTCTGCTGGGTTCAGCTTAAAAAAATGTGATGTTTTGCTACTTTTTGTCCAATGCAATAGTGCAAAACCTTATGATATTCACTTTTCTGTTAGTTGGTTGGCAGACAAACAAATCCAAGATGTCACATGAGATTTACAAAATTGCGATGGGCATTTTGCACAACTTCATGACATTTCTAAGACCATTCATGTTACAAATCAGAAAAGAATTGGAAATGAATAAATAGTGAAATGTCACAATGTGCAGATTTCTGTCCACATTCAGATCGGCACTAAACGAGACACAAGCTGCAGACAGTTGAACTGTTGTCAGTAAATCAAGAGAAAAGAAGCAGACGAGACGAGTTGAAACCCTTAAACTGGAAAATTGAATGTGAAGCAGTGGAGAAATATTAAAAAGGACTGAGGATATCTGCCACAAGGAGACGATTTGCAGCTGCATGTAACATTAATATGAAATTCAAGAGAAGAATGGTTGTAGTGCAAAGAGAAAAATGCACATTCATATTTTTTTCCCACACATTACAGATTATAACAGATATTGTCTGCATATTGCATATTTTTGCTTTGAGATACAATTTGTTTTTTTACGTTCCTCTTTTGGTTGAAGATATTCTTTATCTAGGTTTTTTTTTTTAAACTGAGAAAATAATAAACATGGGAGACGGTTTAACTTTCAACAGCTGGCACCTTTATGCATTTCCTAATCACGATTTCCGACACTTCAAACCGATGCATCAACTATATACACATGCTCATTTGTCATGTGCGTGTTGACCATTGGTTCGTAATTAACTACAGATTTAGTGTTTAAAAAACACTCGTCAACATTACTACTGATGTCTTTTCTTCAAAAGTCTCTCTCCGACTCTTTAAAAACAAGATATAAATTCACATGTTGGACAAAAGGGTTTGGGAAGAACACAAACAATACAAACATTGAACTCTTCAGGCTTTCCATTATTTCAAGATTTAAAAAGTGGGGCATTGAACAGATTTTGAAAGACACACCGAAACACAGATTAACTTTAACTTTCTGTCATCTAAGTGGAGAAACCTTAAGGCGTTCAAGGCTCAGCTGTCTAAGCTTCTTACAGCACATTAAGGTCATGTCCCAGGTGTTCACCAACATTGCCACCGCCAAACACTAATGTTGTGTTGTGTGAGTGAGTGAGTTACAGAGAGAGACGGAGATATTGATTTGAAGGAAAGACGGGATTAGCAAAGTGCAGACACATTACAAAAACTACTTTAACACTAAATCACACATCAGAGTTAATGGTTTAAACTGAAAGTGAGATTAAACGTTATCTTTGGCTGTAAAAACTGTCACGACACAAGTGCAACGTTACGGTACTGTTTCCTAGCAACACAGAAAGTGCAATTTAAAGTTCTCCATTAACTATAAACCTTTTGCAGACCGCCAGTTTCCTGTCTGGTTCCACGTGTGTGCTCTCTATAGGGCTGCACATACAGTAAAGAGTACAGCCAGTAAAACCAGCCTTAAGAGTCCAATATATGGGATTATGTTCCCCATGTGTGCAGAGATGGAAAGTGGAAACGCACAAATTGACTTTCAGCTGCATATTTTGAGCTGAAGCCAAAACTCCATATATTTAACGTGTTGAACGACCGAAAGTAGTGCTTTTTTTATTTCCTGTGGCGGCTGCACATGATTCGATGCATCATCTGGCAGCTCAGGGTCTCGGCCCGGGGATGTAGAGTTGGTCATGAATCAGCTAACAGCGCGTCCGGCTTTTGACAAGGTCGTGTCATCGCAAAACATAAATTCCTCTGTTTTCCTTCCTTCCTTCCTGTGAGTTTTTTCTCTAGAAGGCTGAGATCTCCATACCAGCAGCGACTTTTTAAAAAAAAGTCAGTGAAGGACTTAATAAGAGTGCCGTCATTCTTCACCTTTTGCACAGAATTTTTGTTTTGCAATGGACGTCGATGTTAATCGTGGCGCTCTGGGACTTTGATGGAGTTTGAAGCACAATCAAAATGTCTTGGATGCAGTGCCGACCAGTTTCAAAATGATCTCCTCCATGAAGGTTATAATGTTCGGTTTTTGATTAAACTGTCTTCGAGAGGTGTTGATTCAACTTAATGGTCATTTTGGGGGCTGCAGTTTGTTTGTCATTCGACTGAGAAGTGTTTCTAATAACGCGTCTAATGTGGTGGGCAAATCACTACAAACGTATGAACTTTATGAGGGTCGGATTTATTGCAGGGCTGCTGTTTTAGACTGTATTAGTTCTACCTAATACACTGGAAACTGAGTGTGTCTGCCTCGTAAATTGATCAGGACAAATCTAAACCCAGAAATCCCACTAATAGTTATTCTTAACGTCAGCATATTACAATTCAAGACACCTAAAGTTGTGTAGCGTTGATAAGCAGCAGATAAACGTCCATCAGTTGAGTGCAGCCGCATTAACAATAACAGGAGCTCAGCAGTTTACAGGTAATCATGATATGAAGAGTAGCACGCTATAAAAAGGGGCTTACATTAAACCCATTGATGTGAGTAGAACTATTTCTATAATGTCTGGCTGAATATAAAATGTGTGCACGATATATCCTGTGTGTCCCAAACCATTGCAAGTCCCATAAAGTCAGAATTTCAGGAAAATAATTATATATATATATAAACACTAATCTTAACATCTCTAAAACCAATAAACAGCATAACCCTCTACTAGAGAGTCTGATTGAATAGGAAACCACCAAGAAACAACCAATAATCAGTCACAAAGCAATCAGCAGCAGGAAGCATCAAAGTCGACAAACAACCAGGAAGAGAAGATGATTTGTTAGCATCACCAGCAGACAGAGAGACAACCACAAGCACACGTTAGAGAGCAATGACTCACACAGAAAGACACAGTGAACACTTACCAGAGCTTGTTGAAGTGAAGCAAGCGTAGCTGTAGCTCCAACCTACCGATCAGGTTGAAGTGGTCTCTTATGACAAACGATTCTCCAGCAACAAGGTGCAACACAATCAAATGTCCTCTGAAATGATGAAGCTATTAGCAGTTTAGCTTGATTGTAAAATACATCAAAAATTACAGGAAGTGTTTGTAGCAGCGTTGGTCGCTGACCTTTTAGAGCAGGGGTGTCAAACTCATCAGCATCACGGTTTCCCTCAAAGGGCCGGTTGTAACTGTAAGACTGTATAACTGTAACTACTCCCTAACATATTGTTAAATAACTCTCTCTGCATTTGATTATTGTTTATTCAAGTGTAAAAATACTGTATATGCAGTTATATAAATGTAAAATGATATTTAAGCACATTTCTGTTATTATAACATAAATCATTTTAATTTAGGGTTCGGAAACCCACATTACTCTATCAAAGATCAAACTATTAAAGAAAATAACAAAGACAAATATCATCAAACACAAGTTATTACATTAACTTTGTTCAAAGCTATTTTTGTCACCTCTCTGCATCACTAATGTCCCCGTCGTCATCCCGCGCATGGCAGCTACATCCAAGAGCTCCTCACTGAGATCAGGTCTTATAAACACGGATAGATGCTCTGTGTCCGTGTTGTCTGTGCCTTCATCAACAGCTAATGAAGAAGACGAGTACCTGCTCGTCTCTTCGGCTAGCTGTGTTGTTAGATTGCTGCTAGTTCCTGAACTCGGTCTGCGATGGTGTTTCTTCACAAACTAACATTTGTAAAAGTCTGTATCTGGTCGGAGCTCACCTGCTCACATACCTTTAGCATGCACTGGGCTGTAGCTTTTGTAAATATATTCTGCTGTGATTGCAGTCTGCCTTTTAATTCTTGGAAAATTTGATGTTTTTCTTGGAGGCTAAATTTAGCTCCGTGTTTGGTGTCAAAATGCCGACGTGAATAGTATTCCTTCTTCACCGACACGCATCATAACACAGAAGACAGACCTATTTTTCTCCTTGAAGCACAAACATGTATTCGCTTTCCCATCTTAAATTACATTTTCTTCCCTCTGCATCAATTTTTCTCTTGGTGGACATTTTGGGATTATTTGTCGATCTTTTTCAACTCAATCACTTGTTGGAAAACCTCTTTACGGGCTGTTCCCTCTCCTGTCCACCTGTTGTGATAGTTTTAATGTCGGTACACAGACAACATGCTATCTCAGAATTTCAACTTTCTATCTCATAATTTCGACCATGGGGATACTTTTATTTCCAAGTCTAACTTTAAATTTCTTTTCCAAAATAAAAAAAATTCGTAACTTTTTTTTTTTTGCTGGCGGATTCGCGGGCCACATAAAATGACGTGGCGGGCCGGATTCGGCCCGCGGGCCTTGAGTTTGACAGCTGTGTTTTAGAGCTTCATTGTGTTATTCCACTTCTCCTTTCATGTAAGCACTCACTGCCCTGGCTAAGCTGGTGTTCTCTTAAACTATATGTTTAATAACATCAATGAATCAATATTTAAGATGGTTAGCAAACTAGCAGCAGGAAAAAGTCAGGTGGAGACTCACAGCTTTAAGTAGGCCGGCTCATTACGGAGGGTGCGCTTGATTTGTAGTGTGTGTGGTGTGTCACATGAGAAGTGGAAAGTTGTCTGAAGTAAATTGAACTGAGAACAGATGCATTTATTTCCAGTTAGACACTTTATTCTTACATTCAGTGGTGTTTTGAAAGTGTAAGCTATGTGCATACAGTTATTTTCTAATAGGAAATGTACAGATTGCATGGTATAATACTAACGAGTTGTATCTTCAATGGTTTTAATGGATGACACTGACCTGGTGCGTAACAGCGCAAATTTAAAAATACCTTTTTTCTCCTTTTTTTTCAACTGTTAATCTTTAATTTGGACCTCCAGGCTAAGGCAAATATCAAAAACTGGAAATTAACAGTGTGTGGTTCTCTCTGAGAAGCTATGTATATATGTTTTTAAGTCTCATTGGCCATTGTATAGGCTCTGTTTTGTATGTTTGGGGTTTTTGTTGACCGTTATTTATCACTTATCCAGGGAAAGTGCCTTAGCATGCTCGCTCCTCTTAAAAAACATCCTGGGTTGTGTTGATATAATTCACTCAGCGTATTGAAATCCAGAACAAAAGCCTTTCGATAAATCCTACTTTAATATTTGCTGACACTCTCCCAGACAAATGGTTGCAGCTGTAGTCTGTGGAGTTGTTAGAGTTCATTACATTCTAAGGTATATCTGTCATTGTGTTACCTGTCCAGTACAACCTCGGTGCTGGTGGCCAATTAGCAGCTGCTATTGGAGCCGTTTGCAATTAATTGTGCATTTCTTTTCATGATATTACTCACCAACGTTTTTGTATTCAGGCCTTCTTTAGAACTAGCAGCCTTGCAGTCACAATACCTATACAGAACATAAATGCATATATACCTGCAACCACATATATTAATTGATAATTGATACACAGTGACCTGGAAGAGCTTGTTTCAGTTGGTAATCCAACCTGTTGTGCTTCTAAAAATGTATAAATGCATGCATAGCCCAGCTTTTTGTTCTCTGAGTGTATTCACATATGAAGCATGTTTTGGTGTTTACATGGTAATTAATGCTTGTGCTGTTTGTGTGTCTGTGATGTCCAGGACACACTGCTGGAGTTGCTGTGTGACACGGTGGCGGCGGCAGTACGGCAGGGGAAAGGTCTCGTGGTCAGCGGGTTCCTCAGAGACCTGAGACGGGTGGAGGAGTACGAGGCCAAGGTCAGAGCGCCGGACAGACAGACTGACAGACCACATGTGGTCAGGGACATGGGATAAAAGAGGGAAAAGTTACAATCATGTCTCCACAAAAAGAAAATGTAAAAGGGAGGAAAGAAAGCAGAAAGACGCTCTGATTTTGAAACGTGTTGGACTTTCAGCACTGACATCACATCACAGTGAAAAATGTTGATTAAATATGACTCATAGATAATGGTAAACAAAATGGGGAGGCATGACAATGAATTCTGCTTTTAATAAGAGCAACAAATGGAAGAAAAATGTCCGCTTTTTTACTGATGCAGACTGGTAGTACAACAACAACAACACAACTGGAACAACAGTGCAGTGACGTACAGTTCAGTGTAAAGTAAAAGAGTAGAAGATGTAGCCTGAGGTCTTCACCTGGACTTGCTGCTGACTTCCCTCCTCCTGTGCCTTGTGTGTCAGATGGGGGAGCCCAGTGCAGTGCTCCTGCTGAGCTGCTCCGCTGACACCATGTCCAGTCGCTTGCAGTGTCGCGTCAGATCCACCTCCGGCCTCCACCCGGCCTCCGACAGAGACGGCGTCCTGCACAGGAGGGCCGAGAGCTTCCGCAGCGACAGCCAGGCGGTGGCAGCTCATTATGAACGCAGGAAGCTTCTGCACACGGTAACGTTGCTTTTATCCGTCGTGGCAGAATGCGGCTAACGCTGCCAAGGTTAGAGGTTCAATTCCCACTCCGGGTTAAAGCTCACCCATCTAATGAGAATTAGCTTACTTATATCCACCTTATCTCAGCTGAAACTCATCCAGATGTAAATGCCCCTCAAACACATATTCCAGGCTTTTTTTAAAGTAACATTTTAAGTTCAAGTGTTTTTGTAGCCAAACACTTGCACCCCGGGTACAAGAGGCCTCAATATGTACCTCGTGATCTCCCAAATTTTTATGTTAAACATATTGGCAGAACTTTTCTACTTTAGTGTGTGTGCATGATCAGAATATTATGTAAAATATAGGACATGGTGATGGACTTTAAAGGGCACACATTGCAAATGTTTGTCTACAAAGCAGGTAAATCATGTTTCATTAGCTGTTTGGGGAAATATGATGAAGATTACGTTTTTAATGACATGCCATGGCCCTTTACGTATTGATTCATATCATTTACACACATCTACATCTGCATTTTTTTGACCCATTAATCTGTGAAGTGTTTTTCCTTTGATGTGTTACCATGAAAACATATCAACATAAAGACCATGTAAAAAGCCAATTTCTCTTCTTTTCCAAGCTTTATATTTAAAATTAAATGAACCTAAAAACATTCAAGATAAAATTGTCAATCCTCTCTACAATGGAGACGATTATTTTGGAATATTTTTTGAGCTGAAGGCTCAGGTGTAAGCACAGGGAGTCACTGGAGTCTCTGCTGACACAATAATCACAGAATTTCTGTTCATGGTTGAACTGTCCCTTTTAAAATGAGCCGGGGGAACATTTAAATGCCACAGACGGTGTTTTGTGTGTGTGTGTGTGTGCACGCGTGCTTAAATGCCACAGCCAATGTCAGCAGTCTGCTGTGAGCTTGCAGAGCTTGCACTGCAGCAGACTGCTGTCCTCCACTGCACATTGAAGACACTGATGGTTTTTGAAAGGCCTCGTCTCAGCCAGTGTGTCTCCGTCCGCAGGTTGACGCCGAGAGGTCGCCGGACGAAGTGTTCGCCCAGATCTGCCAGGCGATGGAGACCTTCTGATTTCTACAATTCCCTCAACATCACCCCCTCCCCCAAAAAACCCCAAACTCTGCAGTCCAGCAGGTCCACCTGTGAAGACCTTCTCTCCCTCCCTCCCTCTCTGGATTCTCACCCACATAACTTCACACCTGCACCAGACATAAGCTCGTTGAACTGTGATACGCATGTCCCCCAAACACTCCCGGCAATCAGTGAAACCTCTTTCTGCTTTTGAGTCTGACGAAGAGCCTGGTTGTCACATTGTGCTTCACCCACTCGCATCGTCTCTCTGTCTCACATTGACCTCAATATATGCTGCCAACTGCCGGACCGAGGCATCTAACTGTACTGAGAAAACAGCATTCCCTGCTGTGACTGAGAGCATGTTTCTAGTTAAATGTGAGCTCTCTCTGCCCCCCCGCGCACGCGCTACAAAGTGGAATCGTCAGTGTGCTCATGCTCTCATGCACAGCAACATGCTTTATATTGTAACAAGCATGCAAGAATTACAATCAAGCTTAACTGCTTTTTGTGCGTTAAAATAAAAAGCCGGAAAGAATTAAAGGGTATTAAAGATTATTGCATTTGTATGTCTCCAAGCTCATCGTGCAGGTGCTTGTCTGATTGTTAACATTCAATAAAGCCAGTGCATTTGCTAAATGGAGGATTTCTGAGTGTGTACTTTGGTGTTTTGTGTTCGTGTGAGGACGGGGAAGTCACAGCTGATCTGAGAGCACCATCTGCTGGTGAGAAGTTCACAACAAAAAGGTGCTGAAATGATATGAACGGTCATTTTTGACATCCTGTTTAAAATGCACAGGAACATTTTCTTTGTTCTTCCACCTTCAAGCCGATAAAATACCTGAATCCAACATCAGCTTAAATGACCTTTAACGGCAGCACTCGATGTGTCGGGGAGCGTTAGAAGTCGCCACTAAAGGTCACGTGTTGGCAGCATAAAAGGGAAGGAATATAAATAAATCAGTTTTCACATCTTCTTGATGTTACCTGGAGGTTTCTACATCAAAAAAACAAACAACCAGCGCTTCATCCTTTTAATCATAGTGTCCTCTTAATGATGTCTTGATTTGGGAAATACAGTTTAACCGAAGTTTTTGCATCTTGTGTAACTGTCCGGAACACAGTGCTGAAATCGCATTCAGATGTTCAGTTCAGTCTCCGTCAACTGAAAGACTTGTTGGTTTCTCAAACATGAGGATCTCAGCTTCTCAGTTCTGGATCAGGGAAATCGAGTGTCTTTGGATTTTGGACAAAAGAAAATTTAAGAGGCACGTTGGACTGTCAGACTTTACACTTTTTAACTTATATTTTCATTTAATGATAAATCGAAAATTCAATTTGTTGCAGCTTTAACGCATTATGATATTCTAGAAGAAAACATTGATTCAGTATTGAAACATTTAATCATCAAGCAAAACTTCAAGCAAATTAAATGTAAATAGTCACAAATGTGCGTGGGCCCGAAAACAACAATCAGTCCCATTACTTTATGAATCTACTGATTACTTTCTCAATTAAATCGAATAATCATTTGAACTACAAAATGTCATTAAATTGTGAACAATTGTGTCCAAAATGTCAACTTCCGACGTCAGTTTCAAACTTTACTAATCAAGTCAACAAATTGAATAATCTACTAAACAACCTACAATAACAATAACAATAATAAAATAAAGGAACAACAGGTGTAGAAACACTAGTTTCACATACTTTTATTTCCACGGTTCTCCTCTAGCATTTTTTTTTTTTACATTATTATTTTTTTTACATAAGAACAGACTGTTATACACAGATATTGAAGCAGGGCAAAGGGGGTGAAGGAAAGAGACGAAAACCATAAAAATGGTGTCTACTCAAGCACAACAAAATCTATGTGTATAAAACTGTGGGTTGTTCCACTGTGGAGGCACCAACCACTACCTCAATTCCTTTTGTTTTTTAAATAGATTAATAAAAATACAATCTTTTAAATGGACCTTTTTTAAAGTGGACTGCAAAATGAAAGAAGATCTAGAGGCATGATGACTGGATCGATAATGTAGAACAATGTGGGGCGATGGCGCCACGCAGGAAGGGAGCAGTTGTTGCCGGGGGTCAGAGGTGGAATTACCTCCCCAAAAAGAAATCTTTTAAAAATGGCACACAGCAACTAGCGCTGGCTACTTTTCACCATATACTTGTACACTCAACATGTTCAACAACGGCACACATCGGGGGAGGAGGAAAAAAAAAGAAGAGAAAATAAACAAAAACTTTCCAAACGTTCCCATTCGCCTGCCTTCAAAAGTATTTGCTCTCCGTGCTGTAGTGCTTCCCTGTTAGACATGTTTTAGTGGAGAGAGCAAAGGGAAAGGAAATAGAGATGAAAGTGTGTGTGTGTTTGAAAGGTGAGAGAGCAGCGTTGTGTGACAGTGGTGGGGATGGCTCCAGAGTCCGCTCAACACGTACAGGTCCGTCTGCAGACCGCCTCCCTACAGTCTGCAGTCAACAAAAACGCACCGACGTCGGCGTCACGCTCCACACCGCCTACTTCCTCTCGCAGCAGCTCCTGCTGAGGGAGCTGCGACTCATAAATACTCATCTACGGATACCTAGCTAGAACATTTTTCACTCTTGCATAACACGGAGACCACATACACACACACACACACACACACACACACACACACACACACACACACATACAAACCACCCAGGTGCATCTCGGTTGATGACTTCACAGTCCACTATGACCACACACCTCCTATAGGTGGCGCTTCACCGGACCAGTCGTCAATTCTCTCCAGTTTCGAAGCAGCACAGGGAGGTAAACTGGAGGGCGATGAGCGGGGGAGGGAGGGAGAGAGGGAGGAAAGCCCTCCTGGAGTCACAGAGCTCGGGAATGTCGGTGTGCCTTCTGGGGGATTTTTTGTTTGTTTATTTTTAAAATAGTGTATCGTTCAAAATCACGGATCCGTTGATTAACCTTGCCGAGGTGGAGCAGGGCCCTGTTGTTGTGAGGAACCAACATGGCCACCCTTTGCTTAAGTCAGGGATGCCAGTTTACCAACAGCCCCCCCCCTCCCCCCTCCAGCAGCACTGTGGTCTGCTTTGAGGCTCCTGCCTGCCTGGCGGCGGCGGGTTAAACGGTTATCTTGGACTTGGAGGATGGAGCCATGCACAGAGTGGCCTGTGGGATATGTGGAGAGAGCCTGCAGCTAGAGACGCCTGGGACCCTGTCATCTGTTGGCTGGAAAGTAGTTAGGGTCCAGGTAGTTGTAGCCTGTGCTCTGCGGCAGACAGTAGTCCCTGTCCAGAAAGGTGTCTTGCTGGTGCACTGGTTCCAAGTGGTGGTTAGGCTTGTGAGTCTCTGTCTTGAACAAGCTGGAAGACGAGCAGGAACAAAAGGGGAAGTAAAGGAAGAGCTCAACTCTTATATTTATATCCATTTCCTTTTTGAGTATATATCACAGAGCACATGTTGGATCATTACAATAATCCTAAATAATTCAATAACAATAAGTAAACATTAAACAAGACTATACTGCGATACCAACATTGTTACCACAGTGTTAACTTTGAAAACATCTCTTATGGTAGACAAACTTATATTGTTTTAAGTTATATATCATCATTTCATTTCAACCCTAACTACCAGTTCTGTAGGAGGTAGTTTGACGTGAGGTCTCACCAGTCAGAGCAGTTGGAGCAGAAATCAACCGAGTTGTCCTGCGGACAGTCCTGACAGTGCCACCTCACTCCCTGGATGGGCTCCATGCCGCAGACATCACACTGCACAGAACACGCACACGCACACACACATCTTCAGAGCAGCACAAAACCTTCTTAAACTCATAGAATTGATGGCGAGTATGCAACAGGACACAAACTTTGTCCATGACGACCAACTGTACAGCTCCTCTGATTCAGGATGCATTATATAACTTCCCCTCCTACATTGAGGGCACACACACATATATGTGGAAGTCCGGCTTTAATGTTGTACAGAAGTGTGCAAAGTCTTCACCTTGTAGCCTACATGCCGCATCTCGTCCTTGTCCTCGTGGATCTCCTGCAGCGTCTGTTTCTTCAGTCGCTTCAGCTCTAAAAGTTCTTTGTACTCTGGCAAATTTCTCAACTCCATAGGTATCGCCTCGTCATCCTGAGCGTGAGGGAAGGAGAGACAAACATACGTAAATGTACACACAGAAAGAAAGAGAGAGAGATGCTTCGTCTGTGCATCCCTGATGCCCATCAGTCATCATCCCTCTATGACTCTCTCCTTCACAAGACACCTCTGCCAGCCTCCACCTTCTCACAGAGAGCGGAAAAAACTTCTGAAACTAAAGAAGTGGCAAAGTGCAACATTTTGTTTTTGACAGAACTATCCGTAGCACTTCCAGGCCTCGGTGAGAATCCTGCCAGGCTGCAAACGTGGCCAAAGTAAAGGACAACTCGGTGAAGTGAAACATGGTTGTGGCCCGTGCTGGCAGCAGCTTTGTGACTTCACTTCACACCGGCGGTGTCAGAGGTTTTGTTAATGCGGCGGTGAGGCGGCAGCCTGTGTTCTCAGCAGGAGACGGCGACCTGGTTTTACTTAAAGGTTACTGCCATCAAAGCGAGAGAAGGAAAATGTCAACGCCTGGTTAACGGCGAGCGTCGGGAGTCTCGCAAGCTCAAATGGAAAGAGACGAGGCTGGCTGGGCCCCCTGCTCTGATTTAGCCGTTTAACAGTACAAGCCGCACTGATTGAAGTGAGAAGAAAAAAAAAAAAAAAGGCACAGACGTGTACGGTCAAGAGCCAAATGCCTTATTTCACCTAAAACGTGTTAAAGGGGAGTTAGGAGGGAGTGTCTTTCATATGAAGGCAGACATGTGACAAGGCAGGGAGCATGTACGCAGGTGCTTACTTTGCCTCGTTTTAAAATGGGATTAAAATAAATAATAAAAACTCCCGAACATGCAGCTTTACCCTGTCTTTACCGTACAGGTCACTGCTTATACGAGGGTACAACTGTGGATGGTGACAGAGGAGCGGGAACGCAACCTTGTGATGAGCTTCATTAGGCAGCAAAATACCACAGTCTGCTCGGTGGTCAGTGACACGGGAAAAACAATCTGGTTATCAGTTACAAGATAACATCCCAGCAGAAATAAATGGGAGTTGGACGTGTTGAAAAAGAAGTAAAGAAAAAGCGACGTAGATTTCAGGTGTTAGTGTCGTGTGACGTGACGGAGGACTGACCGACTCGTCAGCAGAGGGGTCCTGCACGCTGCCGTAATACGCCGCGCGCTCGTCATCTTCGTCCATGTAGACAGGAGGCTCGTAGGAGGTCAGGAAAGTAGACGGCCGGTACAGGTGCTTGTTGAGGTGGTGCTGCCTCTTACTGGATGCCTGGGGAACAAACACGTACAGTCACTTTTTGCAGATGCTTAAAAGAAGGGCTGGGAAATACCATCCAATATTGATATCTCTTATATGAAATAATGACAATGATGCTCAGTACAATGTTCCACTCTTAAGTATTATAGCTGCAAATTACAATCATTGATTTCTAGTACATTTTTACAGAGTACATGTCTTAGTCACATATCCTTTAATGCCAAAGAAGTTAGGTTTATGATCATTTATTTTTCTACATTTCTTTTAACTCTCAAATATCCTGAATCAATCACACATCATCATCACGGGTTTCATTCAATTCAAGTCGGAATACAACAATACTGAATTCATTGCCACGTCCTTACTTAAGGACACAACTTAAAGAAAGCATTTGTCATTAGTAAGCTCAGTGTGATTAAGGAGTCTAGTGAATGAGTAAAAAGTTACCTTTTTAGTGTACATGCACAGGTTGGGAGTTCTTCCAGGCACAGGAATACCAGCTTTTGTCAGTTTGATGAAGTACTTTTGAACCCTACTGGCAACCTGCAATGTTTCAACAGGAAAATGTCTGTTAATGATTTCCAACTGAAGAAAAGCTGCTTGAAGTACTTGCAGTCACGCAAACGTATGATCTAGGTACTTGTAGTACTGCTCAGTATATGCTCAATGCAATCTCTGCCTCCATTGTAAAGGCACACGGCCGTACAATCGGTTCAATAAATGTTTAGCTGGCAAAATACAATTCGAAGGCAAGTCGGGTTTAGTCAGGTGAAGGTTTCTTGCTTCTTTGAGGTGGTTTTTTTTCTGCTCAAATATGAAAATAAGCCAAATATTCTGAACTAAGCAGGTATTATGTGTCATTTTGTGAAGCTAATCCGAGCTCTCTTTGTCACCTGTTTCGCCGTTCGGTTGCCGAGCTCATCGGCAATCTTCTGCCATCTTCTGGACTCCACTTCCTCGGGGGGGAACTTTACGAGAAGCTGCTCCAGTTTTTTCTGTCAAATTAGACAAAACAACAGAAAACCAGTCAGAACAAATTACTTTACTGCATAAATGATTATATATTAAATAAGTGTTTAATGTATTTAGTATGATTTTAATCACAAACCGAATGTAGATCATTTAAAAACAGCCTATGAAACAGGTGTGTAGCACAGGTTATTACACATTTGGGTTGCTTATAACATAGTTAATTCAGTCCTCATTTCACAAATTGATACTGGCTTTGGAGGCTGGGATCCTATTTATTTCAAATAATAAATTGAGTTGCTGCTGATTTTTCTAAAATTCAAATGGTGTTACAATGCAATCCTGCACACACTGAAATGCATTGCACCATCTTGCACACTTGCTCCCTACCTGTTCCTCCACAGTCCACAGCTGGTTGAAAGTGTCAGACTTGTTTGGAAGACAAATCCTTCCCCTGATCATCTGTCAAGAAAACACGAGTGACAGCCATGTTGAAAGAGGCAAACATAACGGGCACTGCACCGTTTGAAGAGATGTGTGCATGTGAACTGCCTGACGCACTGAATCAGTCATGTTGACAGACAAAGCCCGGCTGTCAGATGAAACTCGAGAGGTGTCGTCAGTAAGACACAGAAAAACAGCGACACTTTTGACTGACAAACTAAATCCTATTAGAATTCAGAGTGTAACCCGGGAGAATGCTAATGTGCAAACAGGAAGAGAGAACAGATATAATCAAGTTGTTTGCTCAGAGCTCAACGCCGTCTAATCCCAACAATCATCAAAAGTAGAACCTTACTGCGTATACGGTGTGGGAAAAGACACACACACACAACAGGGGCCAAGAATAAGACATAATCAGAGGTGTGGGAGAGGCGGGCTCCTCATGTTTCCATGATAACATCTTTTGTGCTCACATGTGCTGCCTGCTTAACTCTGCCAAGGGGGAAGAATGGAAGAATGGAGGAGATGAGGTTGGAGTAGTGTGAAGTGGTAACAACCAGATGATTTGTAGGCTGATCTGCGGGAGGTCGGTGACTCACCTCAGTTACCGTTGGGAACAGGATGTAGCTGCATCTGCACTAATGATATACTGATGTGTGTGTGTGTGTGTGTGTACAGGTTATCTCAGGCAGGAGGCAGAGTCATACCTGTGCTTGCCTGCTGTTCTCTAGAGCGTCACTAGTGGGCAGAGAGGAGTACATGGTGGATGTTTCGCCTTCCTTCTTTGGCTCCACGGGACTTTTTGGTCGAGCAGGCAAACCTGAAGGGAGGAAATGAGCAGAATTAGTCAATTAAAAAACGTCAGAGGCATCTCTCCGGTGATAATTTTGATTCAAAACAATGTACACATACCAAGACAAAGAGAAAATGTATACGTGCCTTGGTCGAAGATCAGCTTTAGCCGCCTGGTTTTGCGTTTCTTGTCGCAGAACTCTCTCTCAAAGTCACCGAGGCCTGAGGTGTACTGCTCCCATCCAATGTCAGGGAGCTGGACGACTCGCTGAGGACACGGCAAGTCCAAATGAACCTGATGGTCACAAGAATTGGGGGTCACAATCTGTTAACAAATAATCTTAACTTCTAGAAACTATACTGCAACAAGGCTAGATGTGTTACAACATGAGAAACAAACACTGTAAGACGAGGAAGCTAATTTAGCTAACTTTTCTCTCTGACAGCCGGCTCGCCTTGCATGCAGGAGTGCTGAGGTTTAAGTGTCCGACAAGCTGCCCAGCTTCAGCGATAACCCGATGCACAGACGGGTTAAATCCATCATTTACAACGCAACTCAACCCCCAGTTCACCCGTCAGCCACGATGTTATGTGCATTGTTGACACATGCCGCAACTTTCCCAGCAAGTCTCCACCGCATGATTTATTTTAGCTGCAAGCTTGTCGGCTGTGTGTCTGCCCGGCAGAGTATTTCAAGCCAGCAGCTCACCATGTCAGGCCGACTGGGTGTATGAATTTATGAGTCGGTGAATAAACGCTGCAGCTCCTCAAGAGCCAAGTTCCCGTGTCTTGCTTACCGCTTGCTGATTAAAGTGAAGAGCGCTAACCCAGAAGTTGGCATCAACTTCAGCTCAGGCTCACTTAAGGTGGACTGACCTTTAAGGTGGATTTTAGTGAGAAGCCGCACCTCAAGAGTTTTGCTCAGCTTTATGAAAGGAGTTTTCATACATTTGTTTTTACTGTTTAACTGATTGCACTAATCAGTCAAAATGTGTACTCTCACTCTCATTAGTGTAGTTAAAACACAGCACAAAATAACTTTTGCATGTAAATGCTTTTTTGGTTTGTCAAGAACACACTTTAGTGTGTTTGTTACCTGTTTCTGCAGCTGCTCCACAAAGATGATGGGATCGCCGAGTGCCTCCCTCTGGTGACGCGCCAACGTCTCCAGGTCCAGGATGGCCTGCGTGCGCTGGGCCTCGAGAACACCGATGGTCTGCAGCAGCCTCTGGTAACTGACACGGAGGGAAGCGAGGTTAGACAACGGTGGGAGAGGAGGGACCGCTTGCATTATTCAACCTGACACTTGCAATGCTGCAGTGCATCAAACTTTCAGACGCCAGACGATGCATAATTCAACAGTGGGGGCTGAGAACTTCAATACTTGCACAAGACATGAACCAGTCTCCGGTCCTTTCCACTTATTTTGCAAATAAGTTTACAGGCGTTTGTGTGCATCTCCAACCAGCTGCTCTCACAAATTACAAACACCTCTAGAGTTACTTTTCTTGTGCAGCCCGTCAAGAACTGCAGCGAGAGAAAATACATTTAAAGCACTTCAACACTTTTCTGCTTTATAACTGTGCACATCACTCAAGCTTTCATAGCGATATCAAAACCTTTGCATGACAAAGATCAGGTTTTGCAGGGCTCGAGGAGCCTCCCGTGCCGTACGAGTCCGACCTTTCCACTCACAACCCCTCTGGGGCGAGAGAGAAGAGCTGCAAACTGAGCTGTCAATGACTAAGTGTAGCACTGACTCAGAGGCCCTACAGTGCGAACAGATCCGGAGGAATCGACAGGAACGTGACAGCATCCTGCACGGCTATAATCTAACGCAAGTGCTCAGTGAAGCAGAGTAGATCAATCTCCCCCTAACAGGATATTTAATGAAAATCAATGCAGAGGACACAATTTATTCAACAGCTGCCAGTGGTCGCAAAATCCTACAAAGAAAACCATTCAAACAAGTCAACGGTGTTTAACCTCATATCCCTTCTTTAGTTACAGACACCATCCTTTTACACGGTGAGGAGCTCTGTTGACCTTGTACAGCATCGGTGAGCGCTGCACTTCAACGCAAACTGTGAAAATAAATCTGTCTCTGCAGCAGTGGCACCGAAACATATCGCTGCACATTCCCTGTACTACAGAGGGAGTCAAATGTAAGAAAGCAGCAAGCATGCTGCCGTCCTCCGGTGAACAGATGATCGGTGCATCAATCTGTCTGAAGGGAAGCGGGGAGGACTTGGCTCTCTGAGCTCCCACCATATGTCCAGGGACAGACCTGGTGTACCATTGCCACCTACTGGGCCTGAGGTTCACTGACCAACACTGCTGCCAAATGAACATCATGGCCAGGATGGTGCTAAGCTGACGCCTGATGATCAAGGATTGGGGTTTGCGTTTTTTTTTAAATTATTTACAAGAAATATGTAGAGGGTAGTGGTACTATGTCAAAATAGACAAATTCGTGAAATATAAATACAAGATGTGCTGTGTACACATCATCAATTATGTCTGTGTAAATTCTCCATACTCAGCAACCCTAAAAATGCCGAGTCATGCATCCGTAAAAATGACTCCTCACTGCATTGATCTGAGCCTTCAGAAATACTCCTCACTCAGCACAACCTAAAAACTTGATCGGATTACCTCGCAATACAAGAGCAGTGAAATGTTACTCTAAAGCCGTTCTCAGAACATTCACCGATACGGGTTTCCAAGACAAAAGGAGCTCAGCTGAGGAGGTCTCTGAGCCCCTCCTGTGAAGACGCATCATGAATCAGCTGACCTTAGCGGTGCCTGACTGGGAACTGTCCGCCGCCATAAACATCCCGTCTTCTTTGACAACCGACAACACAACTTGGAATAAAAACGCCGCACATAGAAATCCTGTGAATGGAGGCAATCAGCGGAGTGATTTTAAACATCCAGTCTCTCTGTGGGCGTTTGGGAAGCTGACAATTGGCATCTAATTCACACAATCACAGCACCAGATTGAAGGTGGAAATCAAATGCTGAAACGTGCAAAACCCTGAACAGTAAGACAGGAGCTATAGTTAGATGCTCACAGATGTTCGCATAATAACTTGAGAGAAGACGCCAAAAATAACGGCGGTAATTTAACATTCTGTCTCTGCGGCAGCACTAACGAAAACCCAGATCCACGTATTTGTGATGTGATCCAAGTGAGGGATGGGAGTGTCTGCTCACCAAAAAGGCTAATATTGTTTATTTACTTAATGACACATGTATACGTTAACTTCTGTAGCTTTACGTCGCGATAAAGTAAATTTTCCTTCATAAGCAAAACACTGTCAACAATCACAGGGTTGATAAATCTGAGTGTGTGTGAGACATTTAACAGGAAAGAAGAAAAATATTATCCTGCCCCTCAAAGTCTAACAGACAGTTAAATTAAACAATTAAAAAGGAGAAAGGAGAAAAATGCTCAAACATATTCAACCTGTGAGGAGGGATCACAACAAGACTACTGATGTAGCCTAAATTAAAAAACAGTCAATGTTTTGGACACGATAAGAGTAAATCTTCTGTATATTTACCACTCAGACTAAACTAAATAAGCACTTTCTAATTATTAGAATATTTTTTAACTCAAATATGCCTCTGGTTCATTCAAAAGCAAAGAGCAGAAGTAACGCAATGATCCCAGAATACACTGATCAACATGTGTGACAGCTACATCAACAGAAGATGAGGAGAGAGCAGAATCCCCGGGGAGCTCCCACGTACTCTTTGTTGTGTTTAAGAGCCAGGTGGTCAGACTCAAAATAATACACGTCTGGCTCCTCCTCCTCCTCCTCCTCCTCCTCTGCAGCCGGGCTCTGTGTCAGCTTCTTGCTTTGCTTGGCCTCTTTGCTCTCCACGGGTACACCGTCCTCGCCACCTGCCCCGTCTGCTAGATCCACGGAGACCGGCTCCTCGCTGGAGGGGCCCACCGAGTCCGAGGGAGCGGGTTCCTCCACCACAGGGCAATCCTCCTCCAGCCCAACTAGCACGTCCCCCTCTTCCCTCAAGGGACCATTGTCTCTGGGAGGAGAGCTGAGCTTGGAGGAGGAGGCCTTGCCACCGGTAGCAGCCCTCCTGGGTGAAGTCCGCAGAGTGTATCTGTGTTCGTGGAGCTCTGTGAAAGAGGGGGGCGTGCTGGGTATCGAGGGATTGCACTCTGGCTCTGTGGGGGAGGGGGTTGTTGCTAGTGGGGGTGTAGCTTCTCCTGAGTTGCTGCTGTTGTTGATTGGAATACTGTTCATGGTGGTGATGGTGGTAGTGGAGGAGGTGGAGGCAGCAGCTTCCTGCACCGGTGTTGGCGGCCTGCCGTTGGTATCGTTCTCGCTCGCCGTCACCTGCTCCTCGTGGGCCAGAAACAACGGGTCGCCCACCACGTCGACCTCCACCTCCTCCACCTCCACCTCCTGCTCATTAGCCACTATCAACTCAGGGACGGGGTCCTCTGGAACGGCCTCAAATGTCGGCGCAGGTGAGACTGGCGATTCCCCTGAGCCAGAGACCTCAATCTGCAGAGGGACAGAGTTCCTACAAGGCACAGAGGGGTCGGGGGATGAGGGGGCCCCCGTCTGACTACCGTTGAGCAGTGACGGGCAGTTGGTGGCAGAGGTGGGGTTTGCACTAGGCTCTTCACCGAGTGTGCTAGGTTCCTCTGATTTAGTCTCTCTGAGTCCATTAGAGGCCTTGTGGGCATTCGGGGGCTGAGCTGCCCCGTCACACTCCACGTGACCATCCTCTGCCGGCTCACCTTCCTCTTTACTGTGGACAGGTGAGGCAGGAGCCGTGCTAACAGAGTTTTGGCTGGAAAATTCTTCACAGCTGTTGTCCTTGCTAGGCTCCGGGGCAGACACCGGACTTTCAGATTCCAGAGGCCCAGGGTCCTCGTCGTGTCCCTGAGACTCTCCAGAGCGGGAGCACCGCTTGGCCCTTTTGATTTGAGGACAGGCATCCCGTGGCCCCTTCCCTCTCTCACAGTTCTCGGAATTCTCAGGACTAATGTCTTTCTCTAAACAGGACACACCCCGCTTCCTGGAGCTGGTCCATTGCTCCGCCTCAGCTGGAGAAGCATTCAAGTCAGTTACCTTTCCCTGCAACGAGGCCTGCTGCTGGCCATCCTGCTGAGTGTCCTGCTTTGTGTCCTGCTTGTCGTCCTGCTTTGTGTCCTGTTTAACGTCTTGTTTGGTGTCCTGTTTAACGTCTTGTTTGGTGTCCTGCTTCGACTCCTGCTTGCCGTCCTGCTTCGACTCCTGCTTGCCGTCCTGCTTCGACTCCTGCTTCGACTCCTGCTTCGACTCCTGCTTCGACTCCTGCTTCGACTCCTGCTTCGACTCCTGCTTCGACTCCTGCTTCGACTCCTGCTTCTTCTTGGGAGAGCGGGCCCTTGGTAGCGGAGGTAACGAGGTCTCCTCCGGCTGGGCGATGCTGCGGTTCCTGAGGGTTCGACCACAAAAGTTCTCATCCAATCCATTGAGCCCCACTGACGACCTTGTGACGCGCGAGGAACGGGACGCGGCCATACTACGGCGGGTGCCTACAGCCTCCTCATCCTGGTGCTCTCTCCTCTGCAGCAGAATGCGGGCACCTGCAAAGCGCACACAGACAGATACATGAACTTCATTAAGTCAAAAATAACCACTGAAAACTGCAAACCTTTATAGCTCAATTGTTACTTCCCAGCACTAACTTTGCTATAAGTTTGATTGGTTTCACTGGCCAGGCATGCTAAAAAAGTATTGCATGAACAGCACCCTGGGGTGTTTCAAACAAGAACATTCACCATAAGGCCTTTGTTAAATACAGCTCGGGTCATTTCTAAGCTCACACCAGAGGAGTATTGATTTCTCCTGCCATTGTATCCAAGCAACACCTTCTGTCCACGGGCAGTACTAGATGACCACAGGTCCCTACAAAGGAAATACAATAGAAAGGTGGAAGATCTTAAACTGTCAGAAGACAAAACAGGAAACAATAAGGTAGGGCCGGGGAGATTCGTCGTCATAATCAACGTCATCGATTACAATAATGCATAATGTGCTTTGGAGCGTTGCAAGAACGGCTGCTTACGGATTCCCCCAGAGAACAAGCTGCAGCTAAGACAAACAAAAAGTCTCAATAATGTGGTTCTCTGTTAACTCTTCAAATTGTTTATCACAGCAGGTTATACACGAACACTTCAGAAAGCAAAATCCTCTCAGTGCACTTTGTCAAGAGGCAAGTGGCAGCAAGACGGCACCGAGTCCAGTTTAGGTTTTCTAGTGCCCACCAAAGCATGATTTGATATATTATTTTTTTTGCCAACAGGCAGAACAAGTTTCTATTAGTAGAAATCGCTTAAAATACATTTTTGAAATGTTTCTTCATCTCCCCTATGATAAAAGACTGTTGATTTAGTCTGTAATGCGTTTCAATTATTTCCCTTGGCCCACACTGATGCAAAAACACATTTGCCAGTGTTTATCTTAACTTTATATTGCTCCAGTGATAAAAATCAATTCAGCGATATCGGCTCAATACTGACATGTATTAAGTACTTTGTTAAAAAGTGTTGCGTCAGGGATGCGTCACAGCAATCCTTATGAATTATTTTTCTAATCAGGCATCTGACATAAATAGGGTCTATTATCCTGCTACATTTGTTTGTTTTTAAGACAAGATGATTCAATAAAATGGGTTAGTGTTTTTGATATGTATTTTTGGGGTAAATCGGTTGTTTTATTAATTGTGAATTTTAAAAAGAATCTTGAGAATTATCATTAAATTAGTCGTTACATTAAATGATAAAGCATTAAGCGTCGGGTGCAGCCCTACAATAAGGTCGGATCTTCCATCTAGTCAAAATGACAAATCACAAAGTCTCTTTCGACACTTTCACAAATGTCACAGCTTTGAGACTCAACTCAATGTCCTCGGTAACTCCGGAGATAAAGGTGACAACAGCGCGGCAAGCATAGTAAGTAATGGAAAGCCCATAAAGCTGGCAAGCAGAGGATTTATAAAAGGGTAAACTACCTGCGTTAAAACCAAATCCATGTGTGTATGTTTCACTGGGGGCATATTTATTTTCTCCCTGGAGAGATTACTCATTATTCTGTTACACAAAGAATACATATGGTTGACTGATTTCTGACACAGAAGCTACGCTGTAATTCTTACACCCAATTCAGCGGGGATAACACTGCCGACGTAGGCTCGTCATCACACACTGCAGGCCGTTTATCTCTTCATAACAGGTGTGCCAGAGGACCAACAGGCTGCAATCCTTCCGCAATTTGTCACGTACAAAAACTGAAATGCTCCGACAACAAGAACCCTACACAAAGCTTACGGGCTTTAGAGTGTGGACAACCAGAGGAAGCTAAACCTCAAACCCAATTTAAGGGCACAACAATGCCTTCTCAAACCTGGTGTGTGTGCCTGAGATCCCGCAGATGAAGTACATTACTCTGCATTTGAACTAAAATCCTGGTTTACAGTGTATCTGGGAGATTAACACGAGACGAATGCTACCAGGCACTAATATGTAGTCAGTCTTGGATATCTTAATCTATTCTAAATAATCCATTTCACACATAACAGATAGCCTTCATGCAATTTAAAATTTAATCTAGACAATCCACCATAATTTCACTCATGTAAACAGCTTTACTTTACTCACATTTATCTCACACGCATTGAGGAAGTTATTGAGGGAAACATGAACACTAACAACAGAGCTGTCATCAATAGCTTACTCTGGTTTCTCTCAGTATTATGATGCGTATTGTATAAAAGGTCATGGAGTGAAGCGATTACAAACCAATGTATCAGAAAAAGCATGTTGTGACTACAAACACAATAGCTAAGTGAATTTCACATTACAATTAACTCCTCTAGTGACAGAGATGCTTTGAAAACTCATCAATGTAAAGAACAATTAACTAAAGTCACTCCATTTTCCAGACATAAACTCTACAGTCAAACAACTTTTTTTAGTGGGCAAGACTGGGACTGTCAACCGTATCAATGATCCTCTAGCCGTATTCTAGGTATAAAGTAATCAGGATAAAGTTAGGCAACGGTTCTATAGATTAGGAGCATTTCTATTGCCTCTCAACGGCTCTCAACATGGCAACGGCTGAACCGGGCGTCTTGCGGCTAACAGTGCAAACAACGGCAAGGGTGCTGGCGGAGCAAACGGTGTTTACTTAAGCCGGAGCTGGAGGGTGGGTGCTGCACTTCTGCGAGGTCGTCGGTCGGTATGTACTGCACATCAGCTGTAACCGCCGTATGAGTGCAGAGCAGAGCAGCCAGCGGGGTACGCTCACATGCACTAAAGAGTGCTAAATGCAGAGCAAAGAAGCCAATCATCGTCAATCTCATCTACTTGGCGGGTGTTTTGCTGGGGACCCCTAGATGTGCAGTGTTGAAGTTGATATTAATAAACTCTGAACTAACGAGAGATAGTGCTCTGTGCAACAGAGGGGCAGGGCTTCAGGATTGAGACGAGCATGACGTCGACAGTGGGGGGGGGGATTACAAGCCGTGGCTCATTGACTGCAGTTCCCTTTAGCTGCTGGATGTTACAACCAAACTCTTCTTCACTTCACTGGAGTCAACGACCGCTTCTCTAGAATGCAGCAAGCAGCACCTCAGGGGGCTACGGCCAGGGTTCATTCATCAACACACACACAACTTGTCACTGAAGTATCCTGCTCCAAATAACAAATATAACAACAGGGGACAATAAAAACGTGACGTGGTAACAGTCCTATTAAAGTGACATTCAGGGGGAGATGATCTCACTTGGATGCAGAAGATGAGAACTAGTCGTAGCGTCCCTGTTACAGAGTAGATAAATGATGGCATTTCAAAGTACATAAATCTTTGGCCCGAACTGTCAAAACTGATTAAAAAAGCTCCTTGTTTCCTTTCCTGGGACAACGCCGCCCTTTTCCTACATTGTGCTAACACAGCAACATCAAAGCCAGAGGCTACCCTGGCTACAAATACATTTTAATAATATTCCTTCAGGGAGCGAACATAATAGTCACCTGGAACAAGCGCTACCACATGCACACATTACTCGCACTCCACTGAAGACTCCAGCTGAGAACGTTAATGTGATTTGTCCATGCATAAAATAAGAGAGAGAAAGAAAAACAGAAGGGGGAGCAGGTTATTCAGACTGAGCACTCGCCCTTAGACTCAAAATCGACAAAACCAATTGAGCCTGGTCATCTGACCCGCCCTAAAAAACGAATCCCGACGTGAAAATGATCAGGGTCACAGTTTAGCTGGATAACTTGAAATATACTTGCTCACACTTCCTTGTCCCAATGATTAACACGTTGTTGGCACAGCTGGCAAAGCCTCAATTAATGAATAATTAATTAATAAATGTCTATTGCTGCCTCCAGGTGGTGTAATGTCAGAAAAGTCGTAAAATAAAGAGAGCGCAAGTAGTTAGACAGTGCGTGGGACAGCTTGCTTCTTTCCAGTCTACACTTAAAGTAGTTACGCAAGAACTTTGCTTTTGAAGATCAATCAAATAAAAAAACTCCTTAAAAAACAGGAGCCTCCTTTGTTATGAAGCGCAGTGTGAATTAGCATTAAACCATATGTCTCAGCATAGGCTGAAAAGTAAAGAGTATGTAAGAAGTATAAAGAAAAATATATATTTATTTTGCACAAAATGGTGTTTTCTTATTGACTTTTCTTCTATTTTGGTTTTTCTCAAGAAATACTGGATACTTTCAACCTGTGAAGCTCATGACAATTCATATCAACTGAATAAATGTGATGCAGATAAAACAGTCTTTGGTTGAACTGCATATAATTCATGTCATCAGTAAGGCCATAATGTTTGATGAGGGGTCGCAAGGAGACATTGCTTTGTGTTTATGGGGGTCAAAAGCCAAAAGGGTTGGGAGCCACCGGTTTAGACCGCAAACCAGCATTTGATTTATGTTTCCTCTCTCCTGTTGGTAGGTATACGAGAGTAACAATTACTGATATGATGATAAATGTCATATTGTTGTGACTATGAATGTCAAATAAACATTTAACTCTGATAACTTATAATCTATAAATGCTTCTCAGCACATCAGTACTAACTTATCATTGTGCAGAGGAAAGGTCTGAACTGTATTGTCCCCGACAGAAACATTTCTTTGTAAATGTCATTGTTTTTTAAACATAATATTTACATTTGAACATGGTACTTAAAATGTGGGTTTTAACCTTTGTCCAGCTTTGTTGTCGTTTTTCGCTGTATGTCTATTTCTATGTGTGGAAATTTAGAGCAATTTAAAACCAGAGTCCAATTCCACATGAAGCCACCAATCCTGAAGTTTGGAAAATAACAGCTTGTGCCCACAGGCAGCGGTTTAACCATAAATGTTGAACGTGTCAAAGCCAGATGTTAGTAGTCATTGCAGCTACTTAGACAGCACCCATGTGTGATTGTAATTCTCAATCAAACCACTTCCTGTTCTTTAGCAAAGCGCATGTTTAGTTGTGAAGTGATGTTAACACGTGCTATCATCATGACAGACTAGGACTCGGACACGGGTCATTTGTCATCATAAACGAAACATTGGTTTCATTGAGATTGTAAGTCTGTAAACTACAGCTGCTAACAGTTACATGTAAACACACACCTTATTAGCTAAATGCGAGGGCTATTGTTGGCAAACCAGCTAAGCTATCGTCCGACTTTAAAGTGATACATTTGTTTTATGATAGACAAACAAGCTTTGTGCTGTTTTACCGTCGAGTTGGACTGTTCATCTCTAATACTGAGATGTAGTTCAACACTTCCACAGGGCCTACTGGCAACAAAACATCCACGAAGTGGTGTTGGTATACATACCGATGAGAATCTCTCAAACCCCAAACATCACAGCTAAATCAGCTGCTGTGAGAAAGTTGGATGCTGTTTAGACTAGAGACTGGACAACGTTGCAGCTGAACGTGTCGCCGGTTGAGTTAACGCTAGTTTGCAGAAGGCAAACCCAAAAGTTCGGGAATAAAACTCCTTTGGTTCATGGAGCTATGCAGCAGGCTAATCGTTAGCATGGACCAACTTCCAAGGCAACGCTATTTGACCTAGCTTGCCGTTTAGCGGGCTAACCGTTTAGCACATTAACTTACCGTTAGCTTCTTGAGGCTAAATATAAAACATTAACGCTTGAGACACCAAAACGCAGACTGTTGCACCCGTGAAATCCATATATTATCATCCACGCTTCCTGTGACTCCCAAGGAACAAATACACTACAATCTAAAAGCCCATTATCATTTTTTTTCTTCTTCTTTATGTGGACGACTAGTTAGCGAAGTTGGCTGAGGTTCCATTCGCTAGTTCTTCTCGGCTAGTTTTCTTATAAACTGCATCGTGCAGACAAGTATCGTGGCGGTTTCAGGTGTAACGCCAGCAGCCCCTCTAGTAGCGTAAGTAACCTCGGCTACATGCTAGCTAAACTAGCTCGACAACCGTCATTAAGTCCACCAATAAAACATTAACGCACAGAGGGAATCGCTACTATCATGGCTTTGCTGAGGTGTACATGTCAATTGACACGAAGCGGCATGATTAGCAACCCGGCGGTATAACGGTAGTTAGTAACCAGTTAATGTTAGCAGCTAACGGCTAGCCGCTGCAGCCTGATACTAGCTAGCCAAGCTAAGCTAGCTGATTGTTACGTGCATAACTTTGCCGATGTATTTGTGTACTGCTAACAATGCCGGTGAGACATTTTTTTGGTAGGCTAATAAAGTCAGTTTTTGACATTTGCTGAACTAAAAGCACCGAACTGGAGGCACACTTCTAAAATAGCGTTTTGTAGCTTCAAGAATTACACATACCTCACTTCCGTAAATTTGCTGCATGTTCGGCCGCAGCCATGTTTTCAATCCAGTCAACGAGCGCTAGCCGGGGTGTGTGAGCCGACTCAGCCGCGCTCCTCAAAATGCAACATTATACTGTAAATTTCTGCCCCTGCCAAGAGTGCATTCGGTCACACACTCTTCGGGTCATCTCGAATAAAGTCATGACTCAATGGCACTTCCCCCCCGCCAAACAGTTACATTTCTTTTTTAATTTATATCTTGATTCCTATCTAACAACCCCATTCTATCTGTTAGAAATGGTGACAAAATCAAGGTGACCACAATGTTAATCATGTTTTCATCAAGATTTAATAGTGTCAGCCAGCAAAAATTCAGGATAGATCTTACTCAAGTGACAGCTATATGCAAAACCTTACAGTACAGCATTCCCTTCACCCCGTCAGCCAACACATTAAGCAACACCATGCCCATACACAAAAATAATGCCTTCAATTAACTACATTGCTGCTGCTGATTACATACTGCAATATGCTTTCTGTAGCTGTACAATTTAGTAAAGATAGATCCCAATCATGTTTTGTGTGCACATTTTATGGGCAGCTTTGCATTTACATGCAGTTACATGTGGATGTTAAACTGGGATTGAGTGTTAGAGCATGCATTTCTTAACAGACTCTGCCTGCCACATATTTTCTACAAAAAAAAAACAAAAAAAACAAAAAAAACTATTAACATCATATTATATCGCTCCCTTCTGTGCTAAGTTACCAAGTGCTGAATCCTGACCAGTATACTATCAGTACTGGTACATTCAAATACAAACCAGACATTTGCATACGCATGCCACTTTGTACTTCTACAGAACAGTGCAAAACACAAAATTCATTCCTGAGACTACTCAGTAATTCGTCCCTTCATAACCTTGTGATTTTCATCACTTTATGTGTCACATTTTACTTCTCTTCCCATTCATTGGACAATATTCTCTTACAACAGGAAAATGTGTGATATATCTACAGCAAGATGTATTGTGATTAACAATATCAGCAACACAAGACACATGGACATACAATATGTGCTCATTTGGTCAAGAAAAAAAAAAAGAATATATACGGCATTCATTCAGTGGAATTTTCAGCTGCACATAATTTAAATGCTTGGTTCTTAAAATAACCCAACACATGAGTGCTAATATAAATTTAAGAGCTCTTTAAACAGATTTGTACAACATGACAAACCTCTTCGGACATGATAATTCCAGCTGTCACCAGTCAGTCCTGTAGCACTAAAGATGAGGTCCTTTGCTTGAATGCTTTTGAAATAAAAGTCAAGTGCAAAATCAAAAGGCTTTTTGTTTCTTAAATGTTTTCTTTCCTTTTTTTCTGCAGAGTGCTTGACTAAACAGAGCGCGTCTCCATCTCGATCTTCTCCTCAGACTGCGATGATGCGGCTTCCTGGTGGCTGATGTTTGGCCGAACCGTCACAAGTGGACCGCCGCCGTAGATGGAGTGGAGGAAGTTCCACGTCTCCTCAGAGATCTGCCCCGAGTCCGCTCCTGCAGGGTCAAACACACACACTTAAATATCACAAATATCTGCATAGTTTAAGATAATACTGTAATCCTTGGAAGCTATGCGAGAAGGGTACAAACCCAAAAAGTTGTATTTATCCACCCTGTTTACATTTCTTTCTAGTTTATTTCAATAACAAATTAACAAGCATAAAAGTAGAGACACAATAACAATAATAGTTAGTACCTTGTTTAAGTGTTAAATGGCCGTTCTTGTTTACTGTAATCTTGGAATTATCAATGGGTCCCGGTGGATCTTAAAGAGGAAGAAAGACAGTTAGATGTCATCATTACAAACAGCAGTCATGTGCATGCCTATTCTTTCAGAGAGATTTTCTCAATCCTAATTGTTTCAAAGGGCAATGATGTTCAAATGTCAAATGTTTTCGTCACACTATGAAAAGCAATCTCTGCTCCCCTCTTGCTACAGTGGGAAAATAAATAAATATTAGCGGAGCATAAGTCGGTGGCAAAAAAGACATTTGCAGAGGTGCCAGATGTAAGCTGTTATAAATAGATGTGACAACACAAAGCAAGAGGAGCAAAAAAAAAAAAAAAAAAAAAAAAAAAAAAAAAAAAAAGATTGAGTGCAAGGAAATAAAATATATCTTGAAGCTTCATTTTTGCGGTAGCGGGAGGGAAACTTGACTCGGGGACCAAAGTAAACTCTTTGAAGATAAATCAAGAGAAGAAATGAGACTTCACAGTTTCTTTTGAACATGAGAAGCTTTTTGGAAACAAGAGAATTTGTATGTCCCATGTAAAACAGCTTATTTCCCAGGTTCCTCTATCCATGTAAATGTACAGACCTGACAGGACATTTGTTTTAAAATGGAAATTTACATAAAACAAAAATCACAGCAGCTTTGCTATCGCTAGACATGAGTCACAACAGTAGAGGAGGAAACATTTAGCCCTGTAATCAAACATTTAAACAGGATTGGGGGTGGAAAGGCACGACTTCTGTCCAATTACCATTGTCTTTTCCTTTGACAAAGCCCTCCCACTCACGAAACCACTGCATGCTGATGCAGTATATGACCACTGGAGACTCCTCCTCCTGGAACGCCTTGTTCAGCTGAAGAGCAGAGGGGGGGAAGATAGGGGGGGGGGGGGGGGGGGGAAGGAAATAGGAGGGAGATAGGGGGGGAGAGTGAGCAGTGGAGACAGGAGGGAGGACGCAAAGGGGATGGGTGGAAAAACGGGAGGGGTGAGGGGGAGACAAAAAAAAAAATTTAAGTGAGGATGAAAGGATTGAGAGGAGAGGAGATGGAAAAACAAATCAATTCTCTCTGGTAGTTATTTCAATTAGAACAGAGTCTTAACACTACACTGCACCAATTCTATCTTTCTTGGAAATGACACAATCCCTGTTCCTCTTGTTATCTTACTGAAACACACACACACACACACACACACACACACACACACACACACACACA